CACTGAATTCCAATTCCTTGTTTCAAAAGAAAATGGTATTTACAAATGAATTTTAATTTTAAACTTTAATAACATCGTATTTCTATATTTTATGGCGAGGTGTATTTTTTTTTTATAGGCAGCATGACTTTAACTAATAAAAAGCGTTTACATGACACGTTTACCTCCGGGGGTATATTTACCCTACCTTTTGACCTGGGGCAAATTTTGCCTCATTACCCCCCATGGGGTAAATATTTACCCCCTGCATGTACCGTTTACATGACGAAATTTGCCCCCTTGGGGCACATTTGCCCCCCGGGGGTAAACGGTGCATGTAAACGCGGCTTAAGACGTCACAGACTGCCCTGTTTGATGAGGTCATAAAATGATTCACAATGCATCTGGCTCACTGGTTACACCTGTCATGTGATTTTTTGCGCTTATTCAGTGTAGTTCTGTAACACACAATGTGATTGATTTAATATCAATTCTGTACCAGGCCGCCTTTTCTAGCGACAGAGCCTCCTTTTGAGATTTCCAGGTTTCCGTTTGTCAGAGCACGCTGTACGACAGAGCACGCTGCACGACGTGTTTGCAAGGATTAGAAGGAGCGTAGTGGTGCAATATACAAGTGCTTAAATGTATCAAATAATACTGATTAATATTTATGTATCCAGTTAAATGAATTGTTATTGTACCAAGTTGCGCAACAGGACGGAACCCAGTCAACAGGAAAGGAGACTGTTGTATAATCAATTTTTTGACTTGTATGTGTGAAATCAGCCAGGTTTATAATTTATGGCCAGGGGGTCGATGATGTTTAGTATGGAGAAGCATGTACAATGATTTTCCGCCCCCCTCTCCCCAAACTGAATTTTATGTACAAAGTAATGGAAACCCCCTACCCCACCCCTCCTCTCTTGCATGTCATGTTGTCATCTACAAAATCAGGGATTCTCTACAGGGTCACTCCTCGGAAAGCCACTTAGCGTATGCCTCGGCTCGTCACGTGACCAGTGTAGCCAATATAGCGGAAGCATAGTTTTTAAGATTGAGCCCGGTTTATTTTCAACAACTGATTACATACGCTGAGTGTTGTGACAACTGAAAACCTACATGTAGAAGATAAGTTACCTATTCTGTCACTTCATTTTAAGTCAAATAATTGTTATTAGTGTCAGTATTAGTACAGTAGATTTGTAGTAAAGTTTCAAGTCGACATGTTGTAGCTCACTGGCTTCAATTCTCAGTTGGGTAAAATGTGTGAAGCCCGTTTCTGGTGTCCCCCGCCGTGATGTTGCTGGAATATTGCTAAAAGCGGCGTAAAACCAAACTCAGTCAGTCAGTCAATTCTCAGTACACAGCGAAGAAAGACTAAATTATATCGCTAAAAACTTCTTTCACATATTCGTTTAATCTTTAGAAGGGAAATATACCTTTAGTTGAAAGGTGTTTGCAAGTAATAGTGATAGTTTTAAAACTACAAAAAATTTGTTAGGGTGTATTTGAGGTGTGTGAAAAATATGACATATCGCCGATCTGCCATTGAAATACTACAGGGCGTTGTTTGAGTGTTTCTAGTTATTGTTCTAAAACATCTTTCACATACACCTTTAATTTTTATGAGGGGAATATACCATCTGGTGAAAGATGTTTGCAAGTAATAGTTATAGTTTTATAATTTTAAAAAATGTGTTAGGGTGTTTTTGAGGTGTGTGAAAAATATGAAATATCCCCGATCTGCCATTGAAATACTACAGGGCGTTAGTTTGAGTGTTTCTAGTTATTGTTCTAAAACATCTTTCACATACACCTTCAATTTTTATGAGGAGATTATACCATCACGTGAAAGGTGTTTGCAAGTAATAGTGATAGTTTTATAATTTTAATTTTTTTTGTTAGGGTGTATTTGATGTGTGTGAAAAATAAGACATATCGCCGATCTGTTCTGATACGCCATTGATGCTTGTGATGCTTGAGTGTTATAGTTCTAAAACGTCTTTCTTTCTTGTTGATCTTAGTATGTGACAAAACTGGAAAGGTGTTTACAACGCTTTGTGATAGTTCTAAACTTTCTGTTTTTGAGGGGTCTGTGACAGTGTTAGTTAACATTCTGTCAATGTCCATGCCATTCCACACGTGCAATAAGATATCTGAATTAGTTACTAATGTAAAAAAATGTCTCAAAGTAGATTTTTATAAAAAGGACAGCTGATGTTAACACGTGTTCTACCGATAGTTTTGCGTTCTTTAACATGTTTGGGGAGGGATGGCCGTGGTGTATCATTTATTCTTTCATTCATTCACATATGTATTTCTTTCTTTTGTTCTTTTTCTTTATTTCTTTCATTCATTCACATATAATTCTTGCTCTTAATTAATTAATTCATTCATTGTAAAATTCCGACTGATACAATACACTGGCTGAAGTACTGTTAAACGCAGCCGAAGTTGCGCTGGGAACGAAACAAGTCACTGTGGGCGTTGGAGCATGACTCATCTAGAACCAATGGGCTGTTTATGAGACTGTAGCTCTCACAATTTCCTTTGCCGGCGCACCTTCTCGGCATGGGCCATGGGCTTGCGTCGAGTTTAGACTTATTCATTAATGTCATTGGCCCTCCTCGGTCTTTCAGGTGTTGGACAAGCCTTCAGTTAACCGTTGGTCAACTAAAAACCGTTAATATCCCCGATGCTGACATGACATACATTCGTCATCCATGTCAATAACTTGTCATTTTCCGGAAGTCTACGACTTGTGTCTAGAAAAGTTAATGTTTAGTACTCAAGTCTTTTATATCAGTTCAGAGTGCACATACTGCAATTTTGAAATATACACCCCAATGTGCCAATGTACCCCATGAACCTGTGACCCACTGCGTTTGATATATTGTGTGAAGCATGTGCTTATGATGGCCTGTTTAGACCAAGTTTTAAATTGCCCTTGGATTGAGGTGGTGCTTAATGAACTCTCATGTGTGTACTTAAAAATAGTTACGACACGCGTATGTGCTACAGATGTTAATAAGCTGTTTGTCAAAGGACTTGAAAGATGTGTACGATCGCCTAAACTTTTCAGACCGATAAAGCGATGGCCTGAATCAGCCTACATATCAGTCTGTTACAAAATATGACATAAGTCCTTTAGACTGCACCTGAATAAGTCGTGTTGACAAAATCTGAACTGACATCACTTCCATCTTGACTATAACACTTGAAATGAAAGTTGTGATTGACCCTTAGTACACCGACGGAAAACGATCACGTATAGAATTGCGGGCCTCACAATAGGGTTTGTTTGTTTAACGCCGCACTCGGCAATATTCCAGCTGAATGAAGGTCTGTAAATAATTATAATCGAGTCTAGACAAGACAATCCAGTGATCAACATGAGCATCGATGACATGTGTCAACCAATTCAGCGATCCTAACCACCCGTTACCACAAGCATGGGTACACGTGCGTTGCTAAAGACCAATTCTAAAACGGATTTTCACGGGTCACCACGATAGGGCTTGTCATAGGATTTGAACGCGCAAAAGATAAAATGGAAGGCTGCCAAGGGCCATTACAAACATCTGTTTGAATTGTATAATGTCCAGAACCATTTTCAAAAACGTCTCTTAAATCCTGTAATGTAGAGTTTCAACACTTCTGATCTTTTGATTTATGGCCTAGTGCTCTTTTAGTTGGAGACCTTTATTGCGTATTTCAACTTGAAGTAAAGACATTAATTAGCAAAAACGACCTGTTTCATTTGAGTAAGTGAGTTTAGTTTTACGCCGCACTCAGCAATATTCCAGCTATATGGCGGCGGTCTGTAAATAATCGAGTCTGGACCAGACAATCCAGAGATCAACAGCATGAGCATCGATCTGCGCAATTGGGAACCGATGACATGCGTCAACCAAGACAGCGAACCTGACCACCCGATCCCGTTAGTCGCCTCTTACCACAAGCATAGTCGCCTTTCGTAGCAAGCATGGGTTGCTGAAGACCTATTCTACCCCGGATCTTCACAGGTCTGTTTCATTTGAAGGACACAAATGTGTTGACACTGCCTTACATGTATTACAAACCCGTGAAGATCCGGGTTAGAATATTGATCTTCAGTAGCCCATGCTTGTCGTAAGAGGCCACTAACGGGATCGGGTGCTCAGAATCGCTGACTTGGTTGACACATGTCATCGGTTCCCATGCAATTGCGCAGATCGATGCCCATGTTGTTGATCACTGGATTGTCTGGTCCAGACTTGATTATTTACAGACCGCTGCCATATAGCTGTGTGCGGTGTAAAACTAAACTCACTCACATGTATTACATACTGAACGGGTTGTGATTATTACTGTAAATTACAAAACTATCATTCTCGCAGACCAGTCTAAGTAAACTTAGGCTCAGTATTATTCGTTACACTGCTATACTGAGTCTAACAAAACCTTGTGGAAGGTCGCGTCAGGTAACCTTTGAGCGACCTATGACCGTTCAATCAAACGCGAGACGGCCGAACGGATTTAACCAATCACACAACGGCTGCTAATTAGGGTTTGGCGGGACTTACAAAATGGATTTTCTCTTCCCTGGTCCCCAAAACTGATCTCATAACAAATGAAAACCCGCATAAAACACAGATACATGACCCGCAGAATATATGCTTTTGGGTTTCTGTTGACATGGCTATCATTAGCTAATATTTCCACAAGCTGACAAAAGTTCAAAAGGTATGTGTGAATATCACCCGTTTAACTGTAATCACTTCTCCCTGAAGATAAAAGTGAATCATGTTGGAGAAGATCCGTGTATATATATATATATAGATATATATATATAGATATAGATAGATACATACATACACACACACACACACACATATATATATATATATATAAGTTATATCACAGATTATCAGCTTTTTATGCGAGGAAAGACCGAAGTATGACCATTTGTAGCATCTTAGACAACAGTGCTGACTAGACTTAACCCTGGATGTGTTTTCAAATTTAGACATCAAGAACAATTTATCAGTAACATATATCCTTTATTCAAACACATTTTACATTATTACAAGGCAATAAATCTTGGCACCAAAATGTAAGAGCAACAATCAAACATTTGCTTTCATACCTCCACATAACCAAATGTACTGTTCTAGACACATACCCAAGTTATCATTCAGAAACCATCCATTAACTGACCTGTCCTATTCTGTACTGTACTACAGTAGAAAATAACTTGAAAATTAAGTAAGACAAGTTTGATACAATGACTATCACAAACAGAATTGTAATTGTGTTGTATATTTTAGTGACAGCTTCATAAAATTGGAGGTGTAAAAATATGTTGATTAACTAGATTAAGTAATAGTCAAAGACCATAGCTGGGCCAAAAATTAAAACACTAAACAGAAATGTATTCACTATTATCTAATGAAATAAGCTATTTCAAAAGTGATATGTACATAATTGGCAATCAGCCATAGTGACATTTTGTATAGGAGTACCATGGCATTGTCTTAAATCATGTTAGAATTCCTTGGGCATGTAATTAGAGACACAAATCTTCAGGTTTATAAGCTCATAGGCTTCAAAGATGTCAATACAGCAGAATAATAAGGCCACTGGCCATGGTTGCACCCAAACAAGAAAATACGCCAATATTCTGTTAAAATCACATGGCCTTATGACACAGTAATAGTCTGTATCCTATTTGATTAATATGCATGTATATGCAAAGAAATGACCGAGTTATTGGTAAAAGTTCCAATACAAATGCATTGCTGCCATTTTTACAATTACTGAGGAATGGTTGTTTCAGAAGGGATGTTATTAAAGTTAATGATGGAAGGTGTAAAAATGCTCCATGCACACCTTGAATGTTCAGGTAAGCTAGAAATGGGGAAATTCTGTTGAGGATCCTGTTCAAAACACAAAGTGAGTGGTGGACATTTTAATGCATTTATCACTGGAGAAAAATAACAGTATCTGTAATTCCTAGGGTGAACCAATCCTTTAAAATATACATGAAATGAGTTCTACCCCAAAATTCAATACATAAATGGCCTTATGTAACAATCCAAAAGTCACTGAACTCAGGTAAATATTAGCCAAAACTTGGTCAAATAAGGGCCTCCTTTCATGATTCTGAACTATCAAAGATATATTGTTACCTACAGAAAGGATGCTAGGCCAAACAGCTGCAACATCTGTGCACCAGATCAAACACAGATGACAGAAATGCATTGTCTACCCTGTGACTTGCATTACTTCATACATAACCCCCAGATGTGGCATTAAACAACAAACAAACTTCACACATAAAAGCAGTGAAGCAACAGTGCTGGTCATAGAAATGGAACCATGTCAAGCACCTTAATGTTGTCACTCAAACTGGATTGGCTAAAATAGACCATACTTTGCTCATACTGCACTAAGGGCATAAACAAAATTGCCACACACACTATCACAGGCTTAAATCAAGTTGAAATCATCAGACAGTAAACAGTCAGAATGGACACAATAGAAACAGTTGTTTAGCATTGATTGGTGTTTGTTTTTTAATGGTGAAATGGTAATAAGTTGGCATATAAATAATCAAGTCTTGATCAGACAAACAAGTGGTTGATATCACGAGCACCTGGCAATCATACTAGCCACATGGCCTGACTATCCAATTTATTTAGTTGTCCCTTACAACAAGCAATTAAAACAACAGTTGGGCAAAACACTGCTTTCAAAAGTAATTTATTTGTAGTACGGCATGTCAGCTTAATGTGAGATTAAAGCCTAAACAGATGCAGCTATCAGTTACTTAACACTATGGCAACATAATCAGTACAAAGCACATCCACAGATATCTGGCAAGGGACACATCTCTGCAAGGTGTTTTGCAGTGGCTTAGATGTGAGAGGAAAGCCCAAGCAGATGCAGATATCAGACACTTAACACTTCAGTGAATATATATGGCACTTAGTAAGCTAACAACAAAATCAGGAAGCAGCAGGATCCAAACCAAGAACTCAGCAAGGTGAATTGCAGTGACTTAGATGATTGGGCCACCCGTTCCTTTATAAATGCAGATAAATGTTAGATAATGGTAGCACTGTACCCACCTCTGCCTTGATTTCTTAATACAGATATCAATGAATCAGCAGTAAAAAATGTATATAGTTCCTGAGGCTCCAACTTCAATGGTACTTGACCAGCAAATACCAGATTCAAATATATTGCACAAGTATTAGCTCAATATGTGAAGACCTGTTACTCAGTCTATTATATATCATGCCAGAAAATCATCTTTCACAAAAGAACTGCTCAAGTCTTGGCTTACTATGTGAAGAACTACTTCTCAACCATTATTTCAAACCAGTAAATCTATGTAGGATTCCAGCATATTTCAGACTTGTGTCGTGATATTTAGATTCCATACTTCAATTGAGGTACAGGTGGTAATACAGGCATCCCTCGTAATAACACCACATGCAATATCGTGGATTCAGTTAAACCACAGGGTAAAGCATGGCTCCCGAAAAGTTCCTGTGATTACATGCTGCGCAATGAGAGCACAGCTGTGATTTCATACACTGTTTATTACAACCATTGTAGAACATTACCCTGAGAGTAGTCATGCCCACCTTCTCTTGACAGTGTCTCATAGGGTGCCATTAGCAACATTTGTGTTTTGGGGGTAACCATTAACAACTGGATTGATCTAATAAAATATGAGTCAACAGATACTGAATTTGTGATGACATGAATTGAGAATTGAGAAGAGCCCTGTTTACCTTATAAGCTGTTAACCCATAACCTGTCCTCCCTAAAAGCATATGCATTAGATAAAAACTCTTAACATGTAGTTCCTATAACAGATTTATCTCATAACAAGAAACAGTTTGACATTGCACACTATTCAGCCACAACATTGATTACTGCAAATAAATTCAGTGGTGAATGTTCTCTGGATTAGCTCAAAGCGAGGTAATGCCATTGTTGTGTATCTTTGTGAGGACAAAATATTAATGTGACCAAATTTATCTGTGTATTACAGTCAGCTACTACTGTGATCTAGTAACGTGTTTATTTTCTATAAATTGCAAGTTCATCATAGCCGGTCTCAAGGTCATCTTCTCGTTCGAACTTTGCCCCTGTGCATTCACCAATTACAACCTCAGCAGTTGTGTAAACAATGAGGTCACCAACAACATGACCTCCAATCACATGACCTTCAGGATCACTCAATGATATATGAAGATGTCCATTTTCGCCACCAGAAAGCGTGCCAACAAGGGAGACAATCTCAAAATGACCAGTCAGCTCCTTGATCTATGGAAATAAGTTAAAGATTTTAAGAACTTAATCCAGTTAACAATGTCAGCATGTAATGGGATCTTGAAGTTACATGAATACAAATTTTAGCCATATTCCAGCCATATCAAAGGAGAACAAACTAGAACAGAGCATCAGAATATTGTTCCAATGTACTATCAAGTCCCATTATGAATATTACCGTTGCGGAATCTGCCATCCTCAGCTTGGCCTTGGTAACACTACCACAACAAGTCATCACAAAGGCAGCCTTAAGTCCATTCATCTTCACAAAGTCCAGCATGGCCTGCTGTATGTCTTGTTTGGGTCGTAGTCGGATAGGGTAGCAGGTTAGAGGACTTGCTATGGCCTAAAAGGCACCTTAGATGTCTTAGTAGATGTTTTCATACAGATATGGAACACTTAAATTCATGGCCTTTCCAAGATGTTTTGTTAAAGCCTTCAACTGTCATTTTGAAGTTTTTCAATTTGGGTTACTGCCTTGCTCCATCAGTATTTGTCTTTAAATCCAACAAACTATATCTTAGTAGTAAGAGCATGATTATCCCAAAGTTTCCAAAAAGATATATTTTCACAACCAACCTCATATAATTAAGTTTCTCATGAATTTTAACAATTTTATAACAAATGTATGTACCTGTGTACAAATGCAAGGTTTTTGAAACTATTTCAGCGATTTTGAAGGCTTTTAATGGTTGACTCCAAATATAGAGGGCTTTTCTAAAGTGACTTTAAATGCAAGGCCTTTTCAAGCATGTATGAATCGTGGTGTTTCTATCACAGAATACAATTCAATCTGAACACATTGTTAAAGGAATAAAGGGGCACTGATCCAGAGCGATTAATGTTTCTCGCCATCAGTCTAATTATGAAACCTAGCTGCAAACTTGTCAGCCCCTGCTCCCTCGACGGACACAGACACAGGGCTGGGCTACTGTCCACCTTAGCAGAATTACTTCAACCTAAACAGTGGGACACAAGGAAGGGTGGATGTCCATCAGATGCTGTCACTTCAAAACATCCCAGGTAGTTCTTGTCTGATTGTAATAAATGTAATAAAGTGCCCAGCAGTGGAGGCTTTTCAGATTTTCTAATGCCTGGATGGTATAGTGACTGATCCAATTTGATCCTATTTCTGTGTTTTTTACCTCGATATTTAATCATATCATGTAAAAATATTCTGTCTATTACCTATTAACAACACACATTTGATTTATTTGAATCCGTAAACTAAACAACCCCTCTTTGCCATTGCTAGAAAATTCTGAAAATTTACTTAGGTAAATAGTTATATAGTTTTTAACACAGCAAATGCTTATATGTATTTCTTATGCCACAATGAAGTTCTGTTCATATCCTCAAAACAATGTCGGCCCATAAGTTTTTTCAGGCAATTAAAATTGCATGCAATACAGCGATTACTACTCCCTTGCTGTAACCTGTGTTTGGTGGTATAAACCTACAAATGTTATTGTCATCATTCACTTGACAGTCAGTTAATGAATTTATAACAGGTATAATTAGTGGTAATACCACTCAGATTACCGGACAAAGGTCCCCATTTGGCATTACTCGTGTCTAGAGTAAATACTCAACATCATAAATTAAGGTCTGATGTGGCAAATGTATTACATATGTAATATGCGCATGGAAGTGCAGCAAGAGGAATTATCAGCTGAGTTACAAAAACAAACATCCATCAAAGGATTAACCGATAACATGCTGATTTTTTAATTACTTTTATCTTGCACAGCGGATTTCTCAAAAGGTAGTGTTTATGCATGTAGATTTACTAATCTATACTGAATACACCCTGTCGTAAAGTGCCTGTGTAAAAACAATGTCCTTCCTTCAAAGGATTAACTGCCAATACGTGGATTGATTGCTCATTATTGGCTAACTAAATTACTTTTTAAAAGAATGGCAGACATCATGCAATTAGTTGCCAGGGGTGCTATCTTGGGTGACCAATGAGACTATATACCAGGGCTCCAGATAAATTTTCAACATCAGGAGTACGTACTCCCTATTTTTTGAATATAGGAGTACTGGAAAAAAACTTAAGAATTCATTCAGAGTACTGAATGGAATTTAATGTAGAATCAGTAATCTTGTGTTTCGTTTCATATATGCACCACAACATTGCTCTCTTGTGTAAACAGGTCAATAAACAATAAAACAATACTTTTTCAGATAAGTACGGCTGTAAATGATTCTAAGACCGTACACCATTGCTGTGGTGCGTATGTGCTACATTTCCTAATTTATTTCCTACCGTATCGTGCATATTTTTTATCCGTACATACGCCGATACGGCCCTTATCTGGAGCCCTGATATACCAATGTGAAAAACCTGAAACGATGCATAACTTTTACTCATATTAGACTGTTTAAAGACACATAGCCTGACAGTGTTGCTTTAACTTTAGTCTCTTTTTATTTTGATATTTGCATTTTGTTTTTATTCATTTGTGGTAGCATTCAACAGAATCAATTTTTTCGCTGTGAAGTGTGATGAGACAGACAGCATACACTAAGTCGCACTTAGGGCGTGTGTGTGAAATACGATTCACGTTAGCAATCAATAAAATGTCTAGATATTACCCGTCATGTTATAAATGCACTATAAGTATAAGCAGATCGTGTGCATTTTATTAAGTTTCAAGATGCATACAAATATGATAATTAACTAACTAGGATTATTAGACAAAATATAAAGATGTACATTGACTGCGTTATTTTTCAGTCCTAACATTTTTTACCACTGACAGATGGTTCAACTTCAAACTGTTTTCATTTCTTATCATAATAATGAAGATGGAGGTCACGAACCATTCAAGAATTCTGGGATATCATCCGGGTACTCAGGGGAGAAAAACAATAACAAAAGCAACAACCAGTCCACAGAAATTGCCCTGGATCAGTGCCCCTTTAAAATCTAGATCTAACTTATCAGGATGAAATTGAAAATGTTTCCTGAGTATACCAAACTCAAGGCAATTGGATTATACTGTTGGATTATAGATTTTTAGATATCGCATGTGTTCAGACGACACTGCTTACTGTGGTTATAATGAGGGATGACGCATCATTCAGACACAGCAATTTATTGAATGGTGGCTTGTGTTAAGGAAAATATTTCCAAAGACCCATAATACTATGATAGATATTTTATCAGTTTACAGAGGAGAGATTTCAATAAAAGTCACAATATGATAATGATATTGTATTTCCTCCTAACGTTTCATTTCTCCTGTGTGTTAAGAGATGACATTAACATTTTCAAAATCCTTATTTTCACCTTCTTACAAAAATACTGACAACCCTGGTCATCTGACCTAAACATGAACCCGCGAAAGCTTCTGTATATGCATCGATAGCGAGAAGAAGAGCTATTTTCAGATATGTTTACATGACTAGATGAGTCAGTCAACACATAAATATAGACATCAAACTGCGGATGTTTTGATTATGTGCTAACAACATGTCTGCCGTTTGTGAATTATTCACTGTTGGCAATGGTATGCCGCTGCAAGTAAGAGCAAGCGTAGCAGATGAAACCCTATAGAAATGCTAAAATGTATTATATCAACAACAAAATCACACCAGTGTTCCTTATGACACACCTGCATTTTAAAATAAAGAAGCTTCGATCAGTGGTTTTGGTCGTCTGATGAATGACAGGGCAGAAATTCAAGAGTGACCTCCCCTTTCCCGCGTTCCTCGCAATGATCATTTATTGCGTAGGAGTGGAAGAGGTCAGAAACTTGATTTTCACGGTACTTTTATGCTCTTTAACAGCCTATATTTCATGCACTTACTATGTATTACTATGTATAATTTTCTCTTTACACAGAATATCCAAGTTCCTTATGTGAAATCTAAGGCCATATACTTACATGGATGCTCCCTTGTGCTTCCTGTTGCAAGTAAACACAAATTTTACTTTTATCAGACAAAATGTCAGAAAAGCCTGAATCAAGCGGAAAGGCAGACGCTGAAGACACTGGTGTATCTATGGTGGATATTCTAGAGGAAGAAGAACGACTTGAGGCTGATGCAAACGCCGTTCTAGGAGACAGCGACGACAAAAATTGCACTTATCCTACGGTGACGTTTAGTTTTATTTAGGCAGTGGATAACTTGTAGAGAGTTTGTCATTTCGTAGAAAGCAAAATGAACAAGATGTTTCAAAAATGAATTGTTGGACATGATGAGAACACGACAGCCCCTTCAAGGAGAGATCCTGAAAAATATCACCATCTTCTCATTTTCTCATGTTTCTACCACTTTCAAATGTATTCTGCATCTATTCTGTAAACTCGAAAATTAATACCGATTGACGACTGGAAAAAACGCCATTAACAAATACTGATAACGTCACAGTATAATCCTCGCTCTGCTTGTGACTGTTCAGAATGTCACAGATCATGCATGGCAACACTATCTTCATAATGATTTATAACTTAAGTACTCGGTTTGACACGACCGTTATTTCATTAGTAAAAATCTTAGTGCACATTTTGAAAGACAGCTTTTTACAATACCCAAATCTAGTTGTGTTGGATAAACTACAGTTTTATGACTGACAGTTGATTATTTGATTTTACTCAAGGAGTCTGAACTGTTGAATTTTTTAATCATCAGAATTTTCCGACTTTTATGTACTTTCATTTGGATGAGACCAAATATTCTGACTTATTATGATTTATCAGTACTTATTATTATATATTTAGAGACCCTATAATAAACCTTTATCATATGGTCTCTGGTGTAATTGAGGCTTTCCCAAGGGCCATATGAATTGCAGCATGGAAGTATATTGTGTCACCAAATCTAAATGTCAGCAAGATTGTGTACATGATATAAGAATAGCTATATATTCTAATGACATATCATTATAAACTCTGCTACCTTCATTTATGTTCTTATACCAAATTATTTCCTTGGAATCTTCGAATTTAAATAAATAAAATCTCAGTCAGTTATTCGTGTGCTAAATGTTGTATTATTATTTCAGGGCTACGTAAAGCGTCAGGCATTGTATTCCTGCAGCACATGTAAAGCAGCAGGGGCGGAGCCTTCTGGTGTGTGTCTCGCATGTAGTTATGAGTGTCACGAAGGACATGACCTCATTGAGCTGTATACCAAGAGGTACATGTTTTTACAAACTTGAGAAATGACAGCGAAATGTGATCCTGGAAACTACTTATATAAATCAAAAGGTCCAGATAGCTCATGATGATGCACATGCTTGAAGAATCCCTTACAAAAGTATTGGTTAAATTAACACTGCTGAAAAATGTTTACCATATTTACTAGTGGATTACTAGTCTTAAATGATAATTATCAACTAAAAACTGTTGATTACGGTAGATATTTCTTTTCATGTATTTGGATACGAGTTTGGTAATAGTATATAAACAAGATTAATTCTCTGTCAGTAATGCCCTTGATGTATATTATTGTTGACATCTGAAATATGCTTAGCACTTTGGAAAGGTTAATTCAAATTTTGCTGTTTGATACCATTCTTTACGGGACACACTGACTAGTGTTTGTTTTCAATGAAAGTCCGGCATTAATGAGTACATCAAGGATTGGGCGGCTCGGAGTCAGTATAATATGTCTGAATGGGGTATTCATGCTTCACTGCGGCATGGTATCTCAGTATGCTAGCACTATAAAACCAGCTTCACTCTGGGCTAGTACAAGCAGCCGCACAGGCATGTTCTCTTTTTGCCTACATCCCAATTCGCCTACAGTCTTAAAACAACATTTCATGGTCTGTTGACTGTTGATTACGCAATAGTAAACTAGTGGCACCCCTATGATCTAAAAGTGCACTGTTCTAGTTGAAGTAGTTAAAGGACAAAAAGACATTTTTAAAAAAAATTATTTCTGTTATTTGTCTGTTATTTATTTACACTGTTAATTGTCCATTTTCCGATCACAATGGTATTGACATCATATAACATCATATTACATATGCTTAGTGTTAAGGATGTTTACTTGTGCGGATGTCCATTCTCACTTCATCACGAACACATTGTCTCAGTCTGGTGAGGAGTCTGGTCTCTTCTTCATTCATCAGAGGAGGGTGCTTGTGCTCTGTGACGGAAGATACGTGGTCACCAATGGTACTGCACTAACCTTTACATTTATCTATGACGCACTTCCAGTGTGTGGCTACCTGTCTCACAACATTCAGTCGATACTTGTGGCCATCATGTAGTTCCTGTCTTCCTCCTCTCTGAGACAAGATGAACTCTGCCCTCTGCAGGTTAGGGGCGGTGGGGTAGCCTAGTGGGTAAAGCGTTGACTCGTCACGCCGAAGACCCGGGTTCGATTCCCCACTTGGGTACAATGTGTGAAGCCCATTTCTGGTGTCCCCTGCCGTGATGTTGCTGGAATATTGCTAAAAGCGGCGTTAAACCAAACTCACTCACTCACTCACTCACTCACTCACTCACTCACTCTGCAGGTTAGCCATTGTGACTCACAGTGCTTGGCGAACGCTCCATTTTATATGGTTAAGTTGGTTTAAAGCATATTAGTAGCAGAGAACTGGGTATTTTATTATAACCTTGTTTGAACTTCTTAGTGGATGCACCAATCCTCTTTACTCAACTACATATCCTTATAACAACAGTATTTTACAGTGAGAAATTAACTACATATCATCATTGCTTTTACAATTTAGCGTGTGCATTAATCCCTTTCATTTTATGTTAACTGAACTAAACTGAACTTTATTTCAACTCAGGCCGCAGACAGCGGCATATGAGGTTACAAATATGTTACAATTAAATAATATTCATATAGTTATATACAATGTATGTGCAGTCGAGTATTTCATATATACAGATGAATAAGTAATGCATTATATATATAGATAGATTGCAAATCTATCTGCAAAAAGATTGCATAAAGATATTAGAAATATTTAGATGGAGTATTTTTACCGAAGATTCTTAAAAACATTTGTTTTTGTATGCGAAATGGGATGTAAGCGAAATCAATGGAGACTAAACTGCCGCACATACGCATACATACGCATGCACACCTGTCATATGAGCGAAATATTCTCAAGCACGACGTTAAACCCAATTTCACCTCACCTCACGCCAGTCATATGAGTGAAATATTCTCAAGCACAACGTTAAACCCATTTTCACCTCACCTCAGTGAAAGTCCCTCAAACATTGAACAAGGTCAAGAAACTTTATGGATTGGGTGTCTGGTGACTTATATGATTGCCTGTCATTGTATCCAGATTGTTCAATGACTGGTTCATCTGGTTCGGAATTGGTTATTACAAGTTGTGTAATGAACCTGTAATGAAGCTGAAATATTGCTGATCCAGCCAGTCTTTCATGCGAAGCTTTTACAATCATTTTTCTTGTTTTCTAGATTTTTCCGCTGTGATTGTGGAAATTCTAGATTTCCTAACCAAAAGTGCAAACTGTATCCTGTAAGTGTTTATTAGTTTCTTGTAGTATCTTTTCATACATTCGTCTGTGGATTATGTTTATTGACCAGTTGAGTTGATATGAGTGTTACTTTCCAAACCTCAGTCTTTCGTAACATGACCTTCTCACATGCTCAGAGGCATTAATTTAGTACAATTTATGGCAGTAATTTGACTTCTGTACTTCTCACATCTGGGACTGGACTTCCAAACAAACTGCAAGTGTCTGACATGGAACCCAACACATTAGGTTCTATGCTGAGGACAATCGCCAGTCATAGGAAGTCAAATTTAAATCTTTTACTGTTTGACACATGTCATCAAATCACAGTTTTGTAGATCGATGCTCATTCTGTTGATCACTGGATTGTTACAATTTTTGTCTGGTCTAGACTCGATTATTTACAAACCATCGCCATATAGCTTGAATATTGTTGTGTGTGGTGTTTAACAACAAACTAGCATCACACAGGACGCTCATGTTTGTTTTGGATCGGAACTTTGAAAACAGGGTTGTTTAGGGTTTGTGGAACAATGCCACTCTGCACTGTTGCTTATCATGGTAATTTGGTAAATATATCTTCTGTTTTTGTTGTTTAGGATAAAAAGAGTGTTAATCCATCCAATAAGTACAACCATAACTTCAGTGGTTTGTACTGCATTTGTAGTCGACCCTACCCAGACCCTGATGATGAGGTAAGTATGCTCCACCATCCTGAATGGTTCATTGAACGTTCGTAATTTAGCAGTTGCATTTTTTGTGTAATTGACAAGCATTATATTTTAAACCAGGGGTCCTTCGTTTTTACCTGGACATCAGTTTGGGGGACTATTTGACAATGACAAAAAAATTTCTTTACATTAAGCTGAACCTTTTCAAAGCAGCATTAAACGCAGCTGACACGCTCTACATTTTCTGTTACTAGGTAGATGATGAGATGATCCAGTGTGTGATATGTGAGGACTGGTACCATGGACGGGTAAGTTGGAGAGCGGGGAAAATAATCATTAATGTTACCGCTAAAAAAGCAAAAAACAAAAGTTATATTGTCAACATAGCCTGTAAATGAGTGATAGTTATGTTAAATGATCATTTTCTTTCTAAATGAATGTGGGGCAATGGTGGCCTAGCCTACTAAGGTGAGACAAGATTCTGTACAGAGTGATGTCTCACTGGCAGGTCAGAAACCTATGACCTTGGGTTCGAATCCAAATTCACCCAGATTATGTTTCTGGGTTTGTTAGCAGTGCGCTATACTCATGCTTGTGTGTTGCTCCAAGGTGGTTCACTCCTTGAAATCTGCATCATTTTGAGTGTTCCTTTCACATTAAGCTCCCATGTAATGATATAACTGTTGAAAGCTGCTTTAAAATAAACTTACTTAAAGTGGCGTTAATTCAGACGTACTAACTTGTGTATAAAGACCTCCATTGTTTCTGCAACTAAGGGCTGTGGTGATGTTTGTCCAAAAGTGAAGGTGTTGTTTTAGAGTTGTTTTCTAGGGCTGTAACGATGCATCAAACTATCGATGGATTGCAATTGTTGAGTTTTGATAGCAGTTAATCGATGGTAGAGATGAAATACTATCAATGCATCGATAGTATGTGTGACTTTAAATAGTTTAGTTATTGTCTTCCGTTGAAGTGCGCAGTGCAAAATACAGGAAGTACCAGATTTGTTCACTTTGATTTAGAGTTTTCCGCCCGTTATCTCTTAAACAAACATGACTGTTTACTTGATCTGTGTTTCAAGTGTCTTGTCAGTTATTAAAAGGGACTGAAACTAATTCAGTCTGTTTTCATTTCATGTATACTATACATTCATTGGGAAATGACTTCAAATGAGACAATCGAGAAAAAACTATTGCAATAGTATTGCAATAATTGGTCGCAATAGACAATCGCTATCGCAATAGTTGTTTCCCCCTCACTAGTCACCCCTAATGACAACTATCCTGATTGGCTGGTACTATGTGTTTTGAAAAACTGAAGGTGCAGTGGTAGAGTTGTATCCCGTTGTTGGTGTTGATAGGTATCACAATACAGCTGATGTGAATCACACTGCCAACTGCTCTGATTGGCTGGTATGTTTCAGCATCTGGGTACAACAGTCCCTGACAACCAGGATTATGGCGAGGTGGTGTGCACGGACTGTATGAAGAGGCATGACTTCCTCTGGGCCTACACACTAACATCTCAAGGTGACCACTTTAATAATTAACTTAGCCACATTGACAATGTTGTTTTCTGTCCATTCTTCTTCTATTTCGCCTATCATTTTGATATTTGATATTGAGAATGTGCTATGCAGTAAGTACTGGTATGTGATGTACAGTAAGTTTCACTGCTGTGTATTGTGGTGTTTGGCACTATCTCAACCTTCTACCAATGTGGGAGTGATGGGGTAGCCAAGTGGTTAAAGCGTTCACTCGTCACACCAGAGACCCGGATTCAATTCCCAACATGGGTACAATGTGTGAAGCCCATGTCTGGTGTCCCCTGCCGTGATATTGCTGGAATATTGCAAAAAGCAGCGTAAAACTAAGCGGCACGCTCGCTCGCTCACTCACTCACTCACAGGTTCATTTCTTAAGTGGCTGTGTCTCTCTGTTCTCAGAAAACCAATGCTTGAATTTAGCAGTTACTGACCATCTCATTTAAAAGAGCTGCCTTTTTCCTGACATATTTATTCCTGTTTGTTAATCTACTGCTACTGTTGTAGTTTATCTTGCCTCTCACTGTGATTCACGGGTCGAACATTGTTTTGATGCTACTCTTTCTTAATTGACTACTGACTTTGTGGGTGTGTCAAGTTATGTGTAGAAATTAAACAATCACCTGATACACATCATTCCACAGTATGTGTTCCTTTGTAATTGTCCCCCGCTGCAACACGGAATGCGGGACTATGCATTCAGCAGCGTCCGTATATGTCCTGTTTCTTGTTAACGTGATATCTCATGAAATGTTGTACCCAATGTCTTCAAATATTGTGACAGCCTACATTGGGAGATTACTCAGACACCAGTCCATTTGGGTGACCTTGACCTGATTTTCAAGGTCACCACAACACTTTGACCACTTTTAAAACTGTTGTTACCGTGATATCTCATGCACTGTTGTACCCATTGTCTTCAAATTTGGTGACAGCCTACATTGGGGGATTATGCAGACACCAGTCTATCCTGGTGACCTTGACCTTATTTTCAAGGTCACCATGACACTTTGATCACTTTTGAAACTCTTCTTAACGCGACATCTCATGGACTGTTGTACCTAATGTCTTCAAATTTGGTGACAGCCTACATTGGGGGATTATGCAGACACCAGTTTAAGTGCACTCACGAAGTAAAGAAGTTGTTATCCATAAAGTTTGTCTATATGTACTTCCCAGCTACTAAAATAATACTCAAAGAAGTTAGATGAATGCTGTAAGTACACTCACGAAGTAAAGAAGGTGTTATCCATAAAGTTTGTCTACATTGTACTTCCCAGCTTCTAAAATAATACTCAAAGAATTTAGATGCTGTAAGTACACTCACGAAGTAAAGAAGGTGTTATCCATCAAGTTTGTCTACATTGTACTTCCCAGCTTCTAATATAATACTCAAAGAAGTTAGATGAATGCTGTAAGTATCACTCACGAGTAAAGAAGTTGTTATCCATAAAGTTTGTCTACATTGTACTTCCCAGCTTCTAAAATAATACTCAAAGAAGTTAGATGCTGTAAGTACACTCACGAAGTAAAGAAGGTGTTATCCATCAAGTTTGTCTACATTGTACTTCCCAGCTTCTAAAATAATACTCAAAGAAGTAAGATGAATGCTGTAAGTCCTGAGTCGGAAGGACTTCATAGCTTGTTTTGTTTTCTACATACAATATACCTACTGTATGATTCCTGTAGTACAGTGACCTCAAGATACCCCTTGCTGAACATTTCAGCCACCATGATGAAGAAGGAGGAAAGTAACACAGAAGTTGATGTGTTGGCCAGTGACAGTTCCGACCAGGCCAGTTACAGCATGAGCGCTGGCACCAGCAGCCTTGAAGCTAGTGCCTCCAACGTCAGCTTGGGCAACCTCTCCGGTAACAGTGACGACCCTGACTGGTCTAGTAATGACCCTAGGTTTGCAGCTATTACCAAGAAATATCCAGCCAGGTCTGAAGGTGCTTCTGGCTCAGAGAGGGTAAGGGTGTGTCCAGCAATGACTGAGCTTTCATATCCTCCATGATGGATTTTCGCTTTTGAAATAATTATCTGAATTGGTGTGCTGTAATAATTCATGTGAATTCATGACAATGTTTATGGATAACATCTTACCTGTTTGTCAAGTGAATACTCTAAAATGAGAGGCGTGTTGAGTTAATATTTTTCCCAGCCTACATATTGATATGTTTACACAAGTTACAGTTAGTTAGTATTAAAGCAAAGATACTTGTGTGTGAGTGAGAGAGTGTGTGTGTGTGTGCATGAGAGAGTTAGTTAGGTACTTAGCTATATGTGTACAGTTTTATGTGATGCTATTCAACAGATGTGGCAGGCTTCCATTACAATTTAATTATATGTCTAGAGCGGTTAAATATTGGTGTAGGTTAATTCAGTTAGAATCACATCGACTCCCATTTCAGGGTTATAATATGTTGAAATCGGTTTAGGTATACAAAATAAAAAAACTATCTGTCACAGGATTTGGGTGATAGCAAGCTGTCACAGGATGTCGGTGATAGCAAGGCATTTATGAAGCAGTTTAAACTTCGGCTTTCAGATAATCTCAAACAATCATGGTCTGCCACTGTTCATAACCTTTCAGATTCTTTTGCCTACAAACGCTTTAAATCATTATTGCATGTGAAAAGCTACCTATCATTATCTATCTCTCCCTATTTAAAATCTCTTCTAGCAAAGTTCAGGTGTAGCAATTTTGGGTTAGGTAAAGAGGTAGGAAAATATAATGACATACCAATGGCTGACAGTCTTTTCTTACTGTAAATTAGATAATATGAACTGTATTGAAGATGAAACTCATGTCCTTTTTGATTGTAAATTATATAATGATGCTAGAAATAGGTTTATTACTCCATTTTTGTATAATACTGCCAGCAAACAAAACTTAATACACATACTTAACAGTACAGATAAAAATACTATCATAAATGTTTGTAAATTTTTGAAATGTATACATAAAACTAGAGCTGCAACTGTGAAAACACTTTTATGTGCGCTTATTTCAACTAATTTATTTTGTATTATGGGCCTTTGGCCTTTATACTGAATAAAAATGTCTGTATTCAACAGAGCCAGCCATCTGTGGACACATGTCTTCTGAAAGATCTCAAGTCTCGCAAGTATGACGTGAGAGAACATGCCATTTTTTTGCCAGGAGGTTGGAGGCAGAAGCTCTGTCAGTGTGTGGAATGTATGGTAAGGCCAACATAACAAGACAAATAGATAGGTGTTGGGCTGTAACGATGCAAAATACAGGATGTTTTAACTGTTTACTTGATCTGGATTTCAAGTTTCTTGTCAGTTATTAAAAGAGACTGAAACGACTTTAACTTGTTTTTATCTTGTATAAACTATATTTGGGAAATGACTTCATAAGAGATAATTCAAGGGAAAAAAACCTATTCCAATGGTATTGCAATGACTGGTCGCAGTAGTATGTTGCACTAGACTATCGCCTCAATAATCACCGTAGATAGGTGTATGTATGCATACTTTGATTTTTTTCTTTTCAAAATAAAAACACTGTGTTAAAACGTCCCTGAATTTAAGAAAATAGGCACAAAATATCAGTTTCTTGCTGAATTTGCTGGCTTCGGTCCTGCATTTTAGTATCCTTTATAAATCCTTGTGTATGTCAGTTTAGTCTGCTTCCACATGGCCATAGAAACTGGGTTATCTATAGTAAAACACTACACAAACGCATGCACACACTTCCTACCTTTAAAAAATCCCTGTTGCTTTTTCTGTATGGTGCCCAGCCCTGGTTTCTCAGACAAATCGGACGTATCAGTATGTCATTTCACTACCTTCCGCATTCTGTCCACATGAAGCATTGTCCAGAGAGAGACAGACACCTAACCAACTAAAGTGAGAATCTCAAAGGCCAAAACAAAGTTATTTTCATGTAAGTTGAGAGCTGTAGGATAGGATGGTGTATATTTGGATTGGCTATTGATACATAAAGAGATTGATAATTGTTAACTAAATGTCAATTGATTGTTGATATACCAGAGAATTACCTTTGGAAATAATGTCAAAATCAGTCTTTTACTTCTCTAGTGACTGGTACCATATCTCTGTATGATTTACAAACAAAAACAGCATTCTGAACCCAATTTAGAAGTTGCCCCAGAATACAGATGCCACTTTCCACTATATCTCGGTTTAAGGGAGAGAGAAGCAACTAGTACGAGTCAGGATAAGCATTACAAAATAGTTTTACTCTGAGAATGCATATAGTTCTTACCATCAATGGACCGCCTCCGTGGTGTAGTGGTTAGAGCGTCCGCCCGGAGAGTGGAAGGTCGCGGGTTCGATCCCCGACCGCGTCATACCAAAAGACGTTAAAGTATGGTAATTGTTGGTCCCTGCCAGGCGCTCGGCATCAATGGGTACAACAAGGACTGGTCAGCTTGGAGTCAGTATAATGTGTCTGAGTGGGGTATTCATGCTTCACTGCGGCATGGTATCTCAGTGGGCTAGCACTATGAAACCAATTTCACTCTGGGCTAGTACAAGCAGCCACACCTACACATACACACGCATGCCTGTCGTCATATGAGCGAAATATTCTCCAGTGCGACGTTGAACCCAATTTCACCTCACCTCACCTCACCATCAATGATATTTCTTATGTCAGTCTTTGTAGCCAGCACTTGTGTCTAAGCCTTACAATTATATATTCACAACAATTTGACCATGTCTGATTTCTGTAGACCATGTACAAGGACAAAGAGATCCTGTTTCTGACTGATGACCATGATACTGTACAGTCCTATGAAGAGCGTGGACGTCAGAACCATGTGCTGGTCTCGCAGCATGACAAGGAAGTCAATGCTTTGTCACAGATGAACCGGATACAACAGGTGGAGTTACTCCAAGGTGAGGATCTGGAATAGATGTTGTACGATGTGTTCAGATGGCATGAAGCTGTAAAACCCGATGCTCACGTAAAACCTTGGTCTGGAGGAAATTAGAAAGTCATTTGAATGACACAGTTTATATCAGTAATGCGTATTGTTTCAGGTTTCAATGATATGAAGTCCCAGCTGAGTGATTATCTGAAGAAGTTTGCTGAAAATGGAAAGGTGGGTTGCTCAGTTTCAGGCTTTACAGATGACGGACACAGATTTAACATTTATGAGACACAGAAATCAGCCTTCTGTACACAACAAAACATTTCCAGAATACAAAAGAATGTTTAAGACTATTGTGAGTTGGATATAAAGTGGTTCAACACCGCCTGATTGTTTCTTAGTGGTATAGTGTATCAGCCATGCCATAACTGATGGTCTAGAGTAATATTAACTTATCATCTCCATGTCTCCAATTGGGCACTTGGCAGTGGGGTAGCCAAAAGGTTAAAGCATCCACTCATCACACTGCAAACTGGGTTTGATTCCCCACATGGGTTCAATGTGTGAAGCCCATTTCTGGTGTCCCCACCATGATATTGCTAGAATATTGCTAAAAGCAGCGTAAAACTAAACACACACTCACTCCAGCTTGGTACAGAATTTCGATCATGGGAGTAATTTGATTGGACAGTAGTCCTTAGCCCCGTGGAGTACACTGTGAAACAGCAAATACACGATCCTAGCTGTATGCCATTCAAATGAGGTGAATAGCTAGCCATCATCCACCCTTTTGTTCATCAATTGTATGCCATTCAAATGAGGTGAATACCAAGCTATCATCCACCCTTTTGTTCATCAGTTGTATGCCATTCAAATGAGGTGAATACCAAGCTATCATCCACCCTTTTGTTCATCAATTAGACTCAGTTGGCTTCTATCTTACTAGTATATATATCCTGTATATCTGTTAGTTAGCATTCACCTGACGAAGGGGCAAGGAAAAGCTCAGAAACGTTGTGTATACAATAAAGAAGAAGTTGACATCCATAATATTTTGTCTCATACAAGCTATTGTGTGAATAATTCCTTAACATGTATCTGAATACAGTAAAGAAATGATGCACTAGATAATATCAAGAGGTAAAGGGAGCTAACTCTGTTTGTCTTCTGTCCAGGTTGTGAGAGAGGAAGACATCAAAGAGTTCTTCTCCAATATGCAAGCAAGGAAGAGGCAGAAAACAGAAGAGGGCTTTCAGTACAATTGTAAATGAAGACTTCACCGTCAAGAATATGTTGAAAGTCAAGATGACAGCAATCCATTGAACAAAGATATTTTTAGACAGTCTACAGCCTAAGGAGACATTGAAGGTGTATTGGATTATGTTGTATTCAGTTGGGATTTTATGTCTGACTCATTATACATCTCATACAGATTTGTTTTAAGATGTGCTTGCTCATTAGGTGTTTCTTCCCATAGGAACTCAAACTCTTTTTATGTTACCTACTGAGACTTTAGATTTTAGGATGAATGTGTTTTCAGTTTCATCTTTAGGTGCAGATGATTCATTTAGATGGCATTCTGTTGCACTACAGCATTACATTATTTTACACTGGCCCAGTACAGGAGACCTTGGTTGACTGGAATTACGAATATTTTAATAAAACACTATGTTTCATTTATCTGGAAACTTGTTTTTTCTGAAATTTTTAACTGAAACTGATTCAAGTTCAATCAGGTTTCACTACAACATAAGAGATTTTTGTTCTCCAAATTCATTTAAATTCTGATAAAAGAGCATATTATGATTTTTCAGTTTTATCTTTAATTTTTAAAATGTCTTAGTTATCCAGCTGTTAAAATTAAGAATAATTTGAGTGCATCAGTTCAAAGATTATTCACAAGGTGTATTTCCTGTTATTTATTAACTAATTAAGTATACATTTAACAATACCATACATTTTAGTTAGTGTACATATAATTATTGTTTTATCAGATTGTACACAATGTACCATCTCTGTTGTACATCATGGTATTCATCTCTGCTACTGTTTGATTTAATTGTTTGCATTGCTGCAAGTTGTTGAGCATTTAATCATTACAGTTACCTTAACAAATGTTATTACTGCTGTTTGTTCAGTGTTAAGAATGATCAAAACTGTTTCTGAACTTTTCTGTATTTGATTCTGTTCACAATTATTCAGATTTATCAGTTTATGTTAAACCTCTGATTATATGTTTCGGTTTTCTCGATCGAAGCTTTGTAGGATAAGAGCTTGAATAATTTTTAGATTTGTCATGTCGGTGGTAATTTTTATATTAATTTGAACAAAGCAGAAAATACAATTGCAAAAATAATTAAGATTGAAAATCATTTTCTGCTTTTCAGTGCCTGTTGATTATATAGGAATAGTCTTGAATTGATTTGAAACAAACTTTGAATATGTTTTAATAAACCTTTAGTGAAATATAACATTTGTTTCAGTGTCTTGTCAAAAGCAAGATTTTATGGATGTCGACTTCTTTATTGTGAATAACACTCAATTTTCCATATAGAAACAGACTGACTTGACCAGGCCCATAGAATACACTCAAAATTGACATTTCAAATAAAATTCCTGTTTATCATGTGATTTAAAAATATTAAGGAATATGTTACTTCCCTTTGGTCCAGTTTTTTATTTTAATGTATGCATGTAAAATTATTAAGATGAAATATATTCCACAGGAAGCAAATCCTGCAAATAATTGGGTTGCCGGGGTCGCCTATCGGTTAAAGTTTTCACTCGTCATGCCATAGACCCAGGTTCAGTTCCCCACATGTGTACAATGTGAACCCCATTTCTGGGGTCCTCCATTGTGATATTGCTAAAAACAGCGAAAAAACTAAACTCGCTCACTCCTACAAATAATTAACAGTTGCTGAAAGACTGTATCTGTGACTTGTCTCAATTTTTGTTATTTGCTGTTCAATGTCAACATTCCGTCCTTGAGATGTCCATACCCCTCTGTATTCAACAAACATCCTGTCATGTGGGAACCCTCTTCTTGCCTCCCTCCCTTCATTCATAAGATATCACATGATCTTACCTTTTGCAACGGGCGGTGGGGTAGCCTAGTGGTTAAAGCGTTCGCTCGTCACGCTGAAGACCTGGGTTCGATTCCCCACATAGGTACAGTGTGTGAAGCCCATTTCTGGTGTCCCCTGCCATGATATTGCTGGAATATTGCTAAAAGCGGAGTAAAACCATACTCACTCAATACCTTTTGCAAAATAGAAAATTGATATCCTTTGAATTTCATTCAGACTTGTAAAGTAGGTACATGATTTAAGCATTGCCTCAGAATTCATGGAACAAAGCGTATTCATTCACCATTGTTTGTTACTTGAATAATATTGTCATAATTGTGACTATCCCATTGAGCAGTGTTTTTGGGTGAAGTGTATTTGAGCTTTAAGGGTGAATGTGGACAGTGACTAATGATGGTCTGTCGTGTTTGTGTGCTGACAAGTGATGGAGTTGATGTTTTTGAAAGATTGACCATTTTACTGTTACTATACACACCTTGTACAGATGTTGGTGTTTTTATGTTCAGTGATGGTGCAAGTGACTCATTAATAAAATCTATGGTTAACTTCAATTGTTGTTATTGTGTGCCAATTGCTTGTAAAGAACTTGATTTTTTCATTGGTTTAGTGATCATTTGATCCCAAAAATGAAAAAAGGGAATAGAAATCTGATAGCACTATTTCAAATTGCGAGATGTTCAAGCTTTGGTGTCCACCATGAAAACATTTTCATACAATGTTTGTTGCAGAGACCCAGAACATCAGGTTAACCAACAGCAGTGCCAGAATAATAGGGTAACTTTTTGAAAAACATTTATCTGTAAACCAAAATTGGCCTTAAGTTCACAGGATTTTCAAACTTTTTTTATTCATCCCATGGCATGTACAGACATTGAATATGAATATAATACACATGAATGTAGTTGTAATAGTTATGCATATTCGTATGGTAATAGTATAATATTTGTCAAGAAAGGCTTGGCATTTACATGTACCTAGGGTGAATATGATACACATGAGTATCTTGGTAATACTTGCTCATATTCAGATAGTGATGGCACCACATGGATTGTCAGGGTTGAAAAAGGCCTCGGTTCCTCATGCTCTGGTATGACTGGACAATTAACAACCTGGTACAAACACTGTCAGCTGGCAGGGCAAGGTCGTTGTGTGATTTAGGGTGGATATGTGTTCATGCTGTCAACCTCTGGTTTGCTTCGCCAAAAATCACTTCCAGACCACCCAGACAAAACTGGAAGACTGCTGTGTGAAGAGTAAAACAGCTTTTGTAGATTCGGGTAACCATGTTTATATTTGATTTATTCCACAAAGAATACTGCAACTATGCAGATAACATGCAAAAAGTCAGACAAGTCGTTTGAGTTATGGTGAAATTGCCCTAATCTGTCACTATGATTGTCACTATTGATTACCATAGCCTCTAAGAGAAGCTCCTTGACCAGTAAGTCCATCATCAGTCTGTCCTTGAACCACCTTGGAAACCTGGCAGTGCAATAAAAAGTACAAAATGGCCTTCATACTTGAAACCGAATGCTTTTGATTTACTCAGTTCTGAAAGGCTGACAGGTAAATATGGTTTAATATATGCATTTTAATATCACTGACTGAGTAAGAAAGTTTTGTTTTAAAAAAGTCAAATACTCTCGTAAATTAGTCTTCGTCCTTGTCAACCTGTCAGATCAACGTTGGAAGTGAATCGCACATAAAATATCATCAATAATTTGTCGTGAATGTACGGCAGGGACAAATATTGGCAAGTTTGTGTTTAGGATGTGTTTTTTTTACCCTCTTGCGTAATATCAGAAAGTGAAAGGCAATGGAAGCGACACTCGCGGAGGGGTAGTTTTTTACTAATATGTTGGTCTTGGTGATGAAACGAACGGGACTAGTCAAAACGTTCACGGCACAATTCTAGTTTTAATTAATGGAACCTCCGAATTGATAAATTCTGAACCTTTTGGTATTCACGGGACAGAACAGATCTCAGTAATTGGCGACAAACTGGATCGGGTGATGAGACTGAGTGACTGCGTTTTCGTACACCAGTCAAATGTCTGACCTCCTGTTCCACCGACCCGTGAAGGTCTGGGTTAGAATTGATCTTCAGCAACCCATGCTTGTCGTAAGAGGCGACTAACGGGATCGGGTGGTCAGGCTCGCTGACTGGGTTGACACATGTCATCGTATTCGTATCCCAATTGCGTAGATCGATGTTCATGCTGTTGATCCTTGGATTGTCTGGTTCAGACTCGATTATTTACAGACCGCCGCCATATAGCTGGAATATTGCTGAGTGCGGCGTAAAACTAACCTCACTCAGTCCTGTTCCACCAAGTCGCCCCTTACGGGAATCCCCATAGCTCTCTGATCATCGCTAAGATGTACGACATTATCCGTTGGGATTTCTTACGTCGTGATTTGTGTAAGGGATCATTGTGTGCTCGGGCAAGTCAGTCTCCCAGATCCTGTTGAAAAATTTAAGCAACAAGTATTTGCAGTGTAATATCTTTATCAATCTCGACAGCGCTTTTTGCCGACATGTTACTGAAAGGTAAATATTCCAAGAATACATAACCTTTTGTGACTGTCAAATTGAGTTATCTGATCATTGACAATTTGTGACTGTCAAATTGATTTATCTGATCATTGACAGCATCACCCGAACACAACCAACCTCAAAAACAACATGCAAAATGTGTGGCATGAATGTGCTCCACTCTTCACACATGCACCCTGATCGGTGTAAACCTACCTGTAATCATTCCTCTGCTACATCAAGCGGGTCCTAACTTCATTTGTTAATAGTTGTTAACAGAGTTGTTAACGATGTTGTTTAGATCATGACACATACGGACTGGCCTGCAATGTCACCTGATCGTAATCCCACTGGACATGCTTGTGGCATTACTGGAAGTCGTATTTACCGTCTCCATGTTCACCACTAGACTCTGGATGACCTTGAGCAGGCGTTACAGAGAGAATGGTAAAACATTCCACAACAGCAACTTTAAAGTCTCATTCGGTCAATGCAAAGAAGAAGAAGCTTGCATTCGTGCTCATGGTGGTCATACGCGTTACTGAACACTGCTTCACTGTCCAAAACTGACTTGAACTTTAATGTTAACATTTTGCTCCATCAAAGCAGCACATTTTGCACGACTGTTTCACGGGTACATGCTTTTGATGGTTTGTAAGTCTATTATTGCTCAATACCATTTCATTTCATTTTGGTAATCGTGTGTACATATGTTTCTCCTTTCTATTGCATCATTCCATGATTTGCAATTTCAATAAATGAAAATGTAATGAGACTAAAATTTGTGTTGCTTAACTTTTTGTGAGGAGTATGATTAATAATCCATCTCAAGTCAAGAATACTTTAGCTTTGTGGCTCCATGGGGTTCTGGTGTACTGTTGATCCATTCGTCTCAAGTGCCTCAATTCGTTCTGCAGAGTTGCGTCTTCTGGGCACTCCAGAAATCCATGCTTGATCTGTCAATAGAAACTGTAAAGGTCTGAGACCTGTATCACGTCGGGCATTCCTCTCACAATAAGCTGACACTCCGTGATATAGCTGTAATACTGTTAAAATAGGCGCTAAACCCAGCTCACTCACGTACTCTCGTCTCCATTTTGAATTTGTTGCCTGTACATGTCTTTTTTTAAATTTGTCAGATAACTGTTTCTGACACTAAATGGTATAGTCAAATCCCTTGCAGGCGTCTCCATGACGACACACTGAGGCAACTATGTGCTTATCAACAGCTTTTCTCAAACCCTAGAAATACTCTTCAAGTGTAACGGAAGGTTTAAACATGTAATTGAATACCTGTGTTTTGTGTTTGATCAAGACATTGGTTGCCCGTAGCAACAGAGCCACAGGTAACCGTGTCACACACTATAGATAGATACCTGCGTGAGAAGGAAACAATGACAGTGATGTATCTCTGTCCGGGAAGACGAATGAAAATGAACATTGAACGAAGACTCTTGGTCTCTGTATGGCTTCCAAGAAGAAACATTCTCGTATATTTGCGCTGGCGCTTCCGTTCTCACAAAAACAAGCAAAAGTATTGACTAAAGCGTGACAAATTTTGAAATTGGGACCATTTGTCTTAATGTCGCTTTGATGGCAGGCTTTGAATGATAATTTTGATTATAACCAAAGGGTGATAATGTGATATCGCGAAATGTAAAAGTAAAGAAATGTTCTATCGCATTGTCGCCCATCTATCATTCACAAACAGGAGTTTAAAATGACCATTAACATGTTGATTGTCGCCTTGTGCATTAATGGCGCTCACGTGTTGCGAGTGAATTAATCTGCGCAAGCACAGATCTGTTATACTCTCGATTTCCTTTTCCTTCCGTGATTCTGAAACGGAAGACATGGGAAATACTAATGGGAATAAGGCTGGCTTTTCTTAAAATGAAATAGTTTCAGATATTGTTATTGTTATCGGCGTCATTTTCATGGGCCAACCTGTTTTGACAGAAAAACCCAAACTCTTTGTATTTATTTTTATTCTATTCCGGTCTCCAGCTACTTGAGGGAAGGTCTGACAGAGTCGACGTCGTAGAGTTTGGCTCAGTTCGCTGTTCAACCCTATGGCGTGCCACACAACTACTATGGACCGGCACTTCACACATGCCTTACTTCGGGCTTTCCTCCCACACGAAGCTGACACGCAGTGAAATAACTGAAATACGTCAGATCTTCAGAGAACACACTCAATTGAAACCATGAGAGTCCTTATGATTGCGTTTGTTTGTTGTTAAACAAGACACTCAGCAATATTCCAGCTGTATGGCGGAGGTCTGTAAATAATCGGGTCTGGACCAGACAATCCGGCGATCGACATCATGAGCATCGATCTCCACAGTTGGGATACGATGACTTGTGTCAACCATGTCAGCGAGCCTGACCACCCAATCCCGTTAATCGACTCTTACGACATGCATGGACTGACAACTTCTTTGCTGCAATGGATGCGGCGTTCCAGTGTACATGTTAACACTGACTGACTGACTGACTGAGTTTGGTTTTACGCCGCTTTTTGCAATATTCCAGCAATATCACGGCGGGGGACGGCAGAAATGGGCTTCACACATTGTACCCATGTGGGGATTCGAACCCGGGTCTTCGGCGTGACGAGCCAACGCTTTAACCACTAGACTACCCCACCGCCCCGTACATGTTAACACTGGTATCATGCAAGTTATGTTTAAGAAATGTAAGCGTCCTCGTGCTTTAACTATAATAGTTCAGGGCTAAAGTGTGCTTTATTACACTATACATGGTGGTAGAGCGAACTGTATTTCTTTTCTAAGATGCCAAATTTAATACTTTCTAAGGATAATTACGATTAATTTAAGGCAGAAAACAAACGGTGTCGGTGACCTAAATTAAGAATCCTCGCACAGGGCTAACTGGCGCGCTGTTCTATTGATGTGTCTGCCCCCCTACGTTAAGACGAACGTTACCAGAAAATAAAAATGATAAACAGTTTGATGACGGTTTACGTTCGGATTAAATATCTTCTCTAAATTATTTCAATTACATCTGTGATTAACGTAAACCATATGGGGCACTATGAACGTCGCATTTCTACTACCAACATACGTTTAGATCAGTACATCAAGATGAAGCTGAGTAGTCAAGCGACATTCAACGATTGCATTGTGGGAATGTAAACATTGCGAACGTTGCCGTGTCGCTGAAAACATGTGAGTCGAATTGAGACATTTTAACCGACGGAAAAGAAAAACGTAATGAATCCATCAGTGATGTTATCTGCGTGAAGCAACTGCAAACCAAGAAACTGGATGCAACGGAGTAGTTTGCTGTAGGAAGGCGTTTCCTATTCTCGCGGTACTTACGGATATCGGCTGAAAAAAATAACACAAACAATTCTTATCGTATGATTCGGTCATCAACAGTTTCAGAGTTGAGGATTATGGATTATCAGATCATAAAGGCATATTCTGTGAACTGAAGTTAACTAAACCGCGACCGCCAAGGGTTAAATTAACCTACAGAAAGACAAGGTCAATAGATGCTGCCTCTGTCAATGAGGATATTAACAACAGCAAGCTTCATCAACTCATGGAGGATATCAACCAAGAAGGCAAAACTGAGTTGAAGACTCAACTGTATAACAGCACACTGGAGAGACTGCTGGACAACCATGCCCCTCTCATGACACGCAACATCACCATCAGACCTACATCCGACTGGATGACAGATGAAGTTTTTTAAAGCCAAGCACTATCGACGTTCTGCTGAACGTATATGGAGATCAAGCAAACTTGAGGTAGACAGACAGATTTACCAAACTGCCAGAAATGAAGTCAACAACCTCATCAAGAAAGCAAAACTAGATCACATTTCTAAAAAGATTGAAGAAAGTAAAGGAAACAGCAGACAGTTAATCGCTCTTACAAAGAGACTAACAGAACCACAAACATCGACTGTCATACCTTCTCGAGAGGAGTCCAGTCTACGTGCAGAGGAGTTTGCAGAATTCTTCATTACGAAAGTGAAGAACATTCGTGAAGACATAGCTAAACGTCAGTGCTGCAGCAACAATCCCCTGGAACAAGACCAACCATTTTGCGGCACTCAACTTGTCGTATTTGAACCAGCAGAGATCCAAGAGATTACAGATACAATCAAATCTGCGCCTTGTAAATCCTGTGAATTGGATCCAGTACCATCTTGGCTACTCAGAAACTGTCTAGAATCATGCAAATATCTTACTTCATCAGTCATCAATTCCTCTCTCCAAGAGGGCTCAGTACCGGCATCTTTAAAAGAAGCCATCATTAGACCACTACTGAAGAATAACAATCTTGATCCATGTGTACCCAAAATTACAGACCTGTTTCCAACTTGTCTTTTCTATCAAAGGTGTTGGAGAAGGTTGTTCTCAGACGATTGAAGAGTCATATGAACTTGCATCATCTGAATGAAATTTTTCAGTCAGCTTACAAGGAAAAGCACAGCACTGAAACAGCTCTTCTCAGAGTTCAGAATGACATATTGACTCATATGGACAAGCAAGAGGTTGTGCTGCTAGTACTACTCGACCTTTCAGCGGCTTTCGACACCGTGGACCATACCATTCTACTGCAGAGGTTAGAGCACACTATTGGCATCACAGGAACGGCATTACAATGGTTCCAGTCATACTTGTCAAATAGAACAATGAGAGTCAAGGTCCATAATGTGACTTCATCCATCAGAGAAATCCACTTTGGTGTAGCACATGGCTCTGTGCTTGGTCTGATTTTGTTTTCACTGTACATTCTTCCAATAGGTAATATCATCCGAAGTCACAACAAAAAATTCCATGGTTATGCAGATGATAACCAACTGTACATAGGAATTATACCAGCTAATGTTGGACACGCAAAAGATGTTATGGAGAGCTGTATCGCTAACATCAAGATATGGATGACAAACAACTTTCTGAAACTCAACGACGACAAATCTGAGTTCATGAGCATTGGAACTAGGCAGCAGCTTCGCAAAATAGGCGAGTGTAGTCTCACAGTTGGAGATCAGTCTATCTGCCCTGTGCCCCAGGTGAAGAATCTTGGTGTTGTTTTCCGTCCTTCAATGTCACCAGAATCACAAGCCTTTACAGCAGCAATCCAACATCTCCAGCTTGTACAAAACAGAGCTGCCAGGATCATATCCAGGACAAAATGTCAGGAACACATCACCCCTGTGCTGAGGTCGTTGCACTGGCTCCCAGTAAAGAGGAGAATACAGTACAAAATAATTTGCATCACCTACTCAACCCTCTATGACATCAATTCACCAGCTTACCTCAAAGACATCATCGAAATCTATCGTCCAACTCGTGTCTTAGGTCTGAGAAAAGAGGCAGCCTGAAAATGCAAGCTACAAAAACATCCATGGGAGACAGAGCTTTCAGTGCTGCTGCACCAGCTTTGTGGAACTCTCTGCCAGTTGAACTGAGATCAGTATCTTCCCTGGAAGCATTTAGGAGCCAACTAAAAACTCATCTCTTTCTAGCTACCTACTAGTTTCTCCACTTTCTCTGCACAGCGCCACTGAGCAGCACTGGTTGGACATTAGGCGCTTAAACAAATGCATTATTATTATTATTATTATTATTAATGCTTGTTGTTTTTAAATGAAGGGCCTTCTCCTCTAACATCTACATCTATCAGCTGCTAGATCCATCAGGTGAATTAGCACTCGTGAGCCCGGTGATAAACAATTCCATCCACCATTGACGAAACGAGGCTTCTCCCATTCTCGCAGTATTACCAGAAATTAACGTTATTGAGTGTATGTAAGAGCAATCCTGCCGGAAAGGGCGGGAAAAGTAATGATATGTCCAAGTTGGTATAAACTCCCCAATATTCGTGACACTGCAAGATTTTGATCACTTACAGACTTGGTCCACTTCCTAGTTACCAGTCGGTGATGTAAACAACCGGTAAGTGTCGCTCATCGGCGATTTCGGCAGAAAACGTGTTTACCGCGAGAATATAGGAAACCCACGAGAATAGGAGACGGACCTATACGAAGCGATGACAACTGACTTGCATCGTGACGTCGCTTACATTGTGACGTAATGCAAAAGTGTTCGATTACGAGGGGGCAGACTAGAATGGCGCAGTGACGCCATTACATTGTGACGTAATGCAAAAAGTGCACATTATCGTGCGTTCTCACGGTGCGACTTGTAGTAACAACTTGTAGCATGCAACACAGTTGCAATCGTAATTTGAAATCGCATACGACTAGTTGCAACCGAGTTGAAAGACATAGGACTTGTCCCAATTCCTACTACAAGTCGCAAGCTCTCGACCAATCAAATCGCTGAGATCTGTGTCCACCTCAGAGTGACGTCCACTTTGTTTATGTTGACATCATGTCGGAGCCACGCCAGGAAAAGATCGACCTCACCAGGGAAGAAACCTAGCGGTTTATATGTTTCTACTTGTCCCAGGAATGCCTATGGAATGTTCAACATGCCACATATTCCAAAAGGGAAAACCGACTCGCCGCGCAGTCAATGATCGCGGAAAAGATGTACTGCCACGGGAGAGAAATGACAGGTGAGCACGAGCAGACGACATTTGTCTATTATTTACACGCTAGTTGTATATTTTCTCCGCGACTAAAATAGTAAAGACATTATAATTAGCAAGTTATTACAGTAATTTTCACCTGCTTCATCTCTGCTATTGTGTGTTTCAGTGGAACAAGTTGCGGCAAAAATCGCAAGTATATACGGTCTTATTATGGCCGGGAACTTAGGAAAATCCCGCCCAGTCAGAGAAAAGTGGTGCAGGGGTGGATGACCTGTACCATTCATCGTGGGAGTTTTTCGCAGTCCTGGGACTCTTCTTGAAATGCCATGTACAGCAGAGGCCTTCTACTAACAATCTGGTAAATGAAAACATTTAAAATTACAATATAAAATTATGGTGCTTATAAATTTCTGTTTCTAATGTTGGATTTATTTAATTTTGAGTGAAGGTAGCAATTACTGCATTGGCTGATTTTGTGAATAAAGGCGAGTGGAATTTTTTTTTTATTGATTCATGGGGTGATTCTGCTGAGATGTGTGATGGTTGAGTTTACATCACCAATTGAAAAAGAATATAAATAATAGACAAGACATGAAATGACATTTGAGTTTCAGTTGTATTATTCCTTGCAAAGTACAAACAATGATTTAAGTATTTCATATGGTTTGTCAGATGTTCATGAATGAGAACATTTATCATCATGTTGCCAAATACCCATTTGTGTTAGTTAATAAAATGTACCTTTCTTTCAGACCAGGGAACCCATTTCTAATAGCAGTAGAGCAGCACCCATCATGATTACTGATGACAATGAATGCACAGGGAGCATTGAGTGCACCATGGATTCCACTGACAATGGCTGCAGTCAAGAAGTTAGTAATTGCTATCTAAAATTATAGTTCCTGAGTCACTGATTTGTCATCTGTGAATACTTATTATATGTATACATAAATTCAGTTGATGTCCTTCCACATTTTACATTTCACATAAGTAATGTCACTTTTGAAATTTTATATCACCATATCCCACTGCCAATCAACTTGACCTTCTGTCATAAAATAAAATACTCAGCCAGCTCATCTCGTACTTCTCTTGCATTGCTGGCATTTCTGTTCCCTCCCTGCTATATGAAACCATGGTTTACACTGTGTACATTAACTTCATCATTAGTGTTATAGATTGGGTCAGAGTTTGATTTGAGAAAGTTATGTAATGCAACACTTGCCAAGACAACTGAATTGGCAACGTCTGGTGATACTTGTAGAGGTTTTTGAAAGATGCAGAATCTGTTGACCAGAAGGCCAAATGCATTTTCAGATACTTTCCGTGCTCTTGACAGCCTGTAATTAAAAATTCTTTTCTCATAAGATAAATCCCTCATAGGATAAGGCTTCATCAAGTGAGGCTATACACACAACAACGCTAGGCACTAGTTCGTGTCGGCCGTTCAAGGGAGTTGGTTGTGGAGTATTTAATGTGTTATGCTGTAGAGCATGGGAAAGCTGGGAATTAGCATACACTGCTGCATCTCCAGCTCTGCCATTGGCTCCCACATCTACAAATATAAATTTGCAATTTGCATCCACCAATGCCAATAGGATGATACTGAAAAATTTCTTGTAGTTGAAGAATACAGATCCTGTATTGTTGGGTGCCCAAATTGCAATATGCTTGCCATCAATTGCATCAATCCAGTGGGGGAACTGCCACTTTGCCATGAATTCGTCCTGAATGTTGCACCAGTCACGTTCAGTAGTAGGAACCTGAAAATAATATTATCAAATAATGTATATCTTTGTCTTGTTTAACTCTATTAAACATATAAAACTTATAAAGTTTAACATCTTGTCAAGCATGTAAAAGATTGCATCTGACTTGTTTTCATAGAACTAACTCCTGACAACATATTTTTCAGACATCACACTGCAGTGGTTATGCAGAATCTATGCCTGTTACAAAAACAGACAAGGCTCAACCACACCCCAGGAAGAGGAGGAATCAAGCAACAGGAAGTCCTGAATTAAAAAATCTAATGTACAGGACATTGGAAATGATATCTCAAAAGAAAGCCAAAAGTGACACAATGATTGTGACATTTTGTTTGGTCAGCAGGTTGGGCTCTAGCTTAAAAAAATTGAAAACCTAAGAAAGAGAACTGAAACTGAAAATCTATTCACTGATTTTGGAAAATCAGTTTGAAAATGAGGCCTAAATATCAAATGATTTTAAGGGAGGGGGGTGTCAGCAATTTTGTAAATAGAAATATTAAAATGTTATGCTTGAAAAAAATAAGGGAGGTGGGGGTCATTGATTTTGTACATGACATGCAAGGGGATCACTTACTTTGTACATAAATTCCAGGGGGGTGACATTTACATTGTACATACTTCTCCATAAAAATCATCATCACTGCCCCCTAGCCTTAAATATGAACATTCCGTAACATATGTAAAATATAGCTCTCTTTAGCTGAAAATAGATGTTTCCACCTATTTATATGTTTAAAATACTTCCATCAAATAATAAACATTCATGTATCATGTAATCCTTGTCTGTTTTATGTCCATACATCTTTTTTACATAGCTGAAACCTATTTTAAACTTTCATTCATCCCTGACAAATTCTTAAGTGTGGTTTTTGCACTGATTTTCAAGAAGATCTGTAATGATATCTAAAACTGTTCAACAAATTTTAAAGTATTTTATTGAAAATTGGTGTTTGTACGTTTTATTGATTTGTGAAGAATGTGGTACCTGCAAGTAGTCTTGTTGAAGTACATCATAGATGGCTTTACAGACACAAGGAACAAAGTTGCAGATGGTATTCCTTGGCACCCCGTACAGGAACTCAAGGGAGCTGTAACTGTCACCTGTGGGTGAAAAAAGTAATATTTCAAAACACCATTCCCAACATTAAACGCTTTCGTTTGCATGAACATTTACATAAATGTTTCAATTTATATCTACATTTGCTAAATTTATATCCCACGTCTTGTACTCATTTGAATAATCCAGAGGTTCACTAATGACACTCATTTTATGATGCTTCGCTCACTCAAGAACATCTACTGATTATCCCCCCTCCTACTTGATGCAGAGTGCTCTTTCCTTAGTTCAAGGTGGTCAACACGCGAATGTAGGAATTGCCGTGTCTTTTGATAATATTTTGTGCTGATAACTACTTGAAACCTAACAGAATAGTTGGATTCTTTGCGAAATGAAACGGCAGTATCTGTGCTTCATTTACACACCACCTAACTTACCGTTTGCTCCAACGGGAATACTGTTTCTCATGGGGGTACACTTCTTCTCGATGAATGGAGAAATTTTCCCCAACAAAACGTCAAAATTTGCCTTGTCCATACGGAGAAATTCTTCAGTGACCTTGGATCTTCCTGTTCAAGCTCTCGAAGAAGCGAATTATACGCTCCAGCCGTGTTCCGCCGAAGAATCCAGTTACGGACCCACACCGATTTAGGCTTTATCTTCTTTTTTTTTAGCAACTGTGATATGTAGACCGACATTATCATGGCTAGCGTTTCTTCTTCACTCGACGAATCCATGTTGCAGAGTCATACGTGAGAATCTCGCGAGATACGAGTTGTATACGACTTAAAAAGTACACAAATGGCAAAGTCGTTACGATCTTTGTTGTTATTACAAGTCGTATGCTACAAGTTGTTACTACAAGTCGCACCGTGAGAACGCACCTTTGATCTTTCACCGAAACATCTTAGAAAGAGGGACAAATTATATAATTGACTGCAACTTCTTTTCTGCAATGGGTGGGATCATGAAGAGTCATATGAACTTGCATCATCTGAATGAAATTTTTCAGTCAGCTTACAAGGAAAAGCACAGCACTGAAACAGCCCTTCTCAGAGTTCAGAATGACATATTGACTCATATGGACAAGCAAGAGGTTGTGCTGCTAGTACTACTCGACCTTTCAGCAGCTTTCGACACCGTGGACCATACCATTCTACTGCAGAGTTAAGAGCACACTATTGGCATCACAGGAACGGCATTACAATGGTTCCAGTCCTACTTGTCAAATAGAACAATGAGAGTCAAGGTCCATAATGCGACTTCATCCATCAGAGAAATCCACTTTGGTGTAGCACAAGGCTCTGTGCCTGGTCTGATTTTGTTTTCACTGTACATTCTTCCAATAGGTAATATCATCCGAAGTCACAACATAAAATTCCATGGTTATGCAGATGATAACCAACTCTACGTAGGAATTATACCAGCTAATGTTGGACACGCAAAAGATGTTATGGAGAGCTGTATCGCTAACATCAAGATATGGATGACAAACAACTTTCTGAAACTGATCATTGGAACTAGGCAGCAGCTTCGCAAAATAGGCGAGTGTAGTCTCACAGTTGGAGATCAGTCTATCTGCCCTGTGCCCCAGGTGAAGAATCTTGGTGTTGTTTTCCGTTCTTCAATGTCACCAGAATCACAAGCTGCAGCAGCAATCCAACATCTCCAGCTTGTACAAAACAGAGCTGCCAGGATCATATCCAGGACAAAATGTCAGGAACACATCACCCCTGTGCTGAGGTCGTTGCACTGGCTCCCAGTAAAGAGGAGAATACAGTACAAAATAATTTGCATCACCTACTCAACCCTCTATGACATCAATTCACCAGCTTACCTCAAAGACATCATCGAAATCTATCGTCCAACTCGTGTCTTAGGTCTGAGAAAAGAGGCAGCCTGAAAATGCCAGCTACAAAAACATCCATGGGAGACAGAGCTTTCAGTGCTGCTGCACCAGCTTTGTGGAACTCTCTGCCAGTTGAACTGAGATCAGTATCTTCCCTGGAAGCATTTAGGAGCCAACTAAAAACTCATCTCTTTCTAGCTACCTACTAGTTTCTCCACTTTCTCTGCACAGCGCCACTGAGCAGCACTGGTTGGACATTAGGCGCTTAAACAAATGCATTATTATTATTATTATTATTAATGCTTGTTGTTTTTAAATGAAGGGCCTTCTCCTCTAACATCTACATCTATCAGCTGCTAGATCCATCAGGTGAATTAGCACTCGTGAGCCCGGTGATAAACAATTCCATCCACCATTGACGAAACGAGGCTTCTCCCATTCTCGCAGTATTACCAGAAATTAACGTTTTTGAGTGTATGTAAGAGCAATCCTGCCGGAAAGGGCGGGAAAAAGTAATGATATGTCCAAGTTGGTATAAACTCCCCAATATTCGTGACACTGCAAGATTTTGATCACTTACAGACTTGGTCCACTTCCTAGTTACCAGTCGGTGATGTAAACAACCGGTAAGTGTCGCTCATCGGCGATTTCGGCAGAAAACGTGTTTACCGCGAGAATATAGGAAACCCACGAGAATAGGAGACGGACCTATACGAAGCGATGACAACTGACTTGCATCGTGACGTCGCTTACATTGTGACGTAATGCAAAAGTGTTCGATTACGAGGGGGCAGACTAGAATGGCGCAGTGACGCCATTACATTGTGACGTAATGCAAAAAGTGCACATTATCGTGCGTTCTCACGGTGCGACTTGTAGTAACAACTTGTAGCATGCAACACAGTTGCAATCGTAATTTGAAATCGCATACGACTAGTTGCAACCGAGTTGAAAGACATAGGACTTGTCCCAATTCCTACTACAAGTCGCAAAGCTCGACCAATCAAATCGCTGAGATCTGTGTCCACCTCAGAGTGACGTCCACTTTGTTTATGTTGACATCATGTCGGAGCCACGCCAGGAAAAGATCGACCTCACCAGGGAAGAAACCTAGCGGTTTATATGTTTCTACTTGTCCCAGGAATGCCTATGGAATGTTCAACATGCCACATATTCCAAAAGGGAAAACCGACTCGCCGCGCAGTCAATGATCGCGGAAAAGATGTACTGCCACGGGAGAGAAATGACAGGTGAGCACGAGCAGACGACATTTGTCTATTATTTACACGCTAGTTGTATATTTTCTCCGCGACTAAAATAGTAAAGACATTATAATTAGCAAGTTATTACAGTAATTTTCACCTGCTTCATCTCTGCTATTGTGTGTTTCAGTGGAACAAGTTGCGGCAAAAATCGCAAGTATATACGGTCTTATTATGGCCGGGAACTTAGGAAAATCCCGCCCAGTCAGAGAAAAGTGGTGCAGGGGTGGATGACCTGTACCATTCATCGTGGGAGTTTTTCGCAGTCCTGGGACTCTTCTTGAAATGCCATGTACAGCAGAGGCCTTCTACTAACAATCTGGTAAATGAAAACATTTAAAATTACAATATAAAATTATGGTGCTTATAAATTTCTGTTTCTAATGTTGGATTTATTCAATTTTGAGTGAAGGTAGCAATTACTGCATTGGCTGATTTTGTGAATAAAGGAGAGTGGAATATTTTTTTATTGATTCATGGGGTGATTCTGCTGAGATGTGTGATGGTTGAGTTTACATCACCAATTGAAAAAGAATATAAATAATAGACAAGACATGAAATGACATTTGAGTTTCAGTTGTATTATTCCTTGCAAAGTACAAACAATGATTTAAGTATTTCATATGGTTTGTCAGATGTTCATGAATGAGAACATTTATCATCATGTTGCCAAATACCCATTTGTGTTAGTTAATAAAATGTACATTTCTTTCAGACCAGGGAACCCATTTCTAATAGCAGTAGAGCAGCACCCATCATGATTACTGATGACAATGAATGCACAGGGAGCATTGAGTGCACCATGGATTCCACTGACAATGGCTGCAGTCAAGAAGTTAGTAATTGCTATCTAAAATTATAGTTCCCGAGTCACTGATTTGTCATCTGTGAATACTTATTATATGTATACATAAATTCAGTTGATGTCCTTCCACATTTTACATTTCACATAAGTAATGTCACTTTTGAAATTTTATATCACCATATCCCACTGCCAATCAACTTGACCTTCTGTCATAAAATAATCAGCCAGCTCATCTCGTACTTCTCTTGCATTGCTGGCATTTCTGTTCCCTCCCTGCTGTATGAAACCATGGTTTACACTGTGTACATTAACTTCATCATTAGTGTTATAGATTGGGTCAGAGTTTGATTTGAGAAAGTTATGTAATGCAACACTTGCCAAGACAACTGAATTGGCAATGTCTGGTGATACTTGTAGAGGTTTTTGAAAGATGCAGAATCTGTTGACCAGAAGGCCAAATGCATTTTCAGATACTTTCCGTGCTCTTGACAGCCTGTAATTAAATATTTTTTTCTCATAAGTTAAATCCCTCATAGGATAAAGCTTCATCAAGTGAGGCTATACACACAACAACTCTAGGCACTAGTTCATGTCGGCCCTTCAAGGGAGTTGGTTGTGGAGTATTTAATGTGTTATGCTGTAGAGCATGGGAAAGCTGGGAATTAGCATACACTGCTGCATCTCCAGCTCTGCCATTGGCTCCCACATCTACAAATATAAATTTGCAATTTGCATCCACCAATGCCAATAGGATGATACTGAAAAATTTCTTGTAGTTGAAGAATACAGATCCTGTATTGTTGGGTGCCCGAATTGCAATATGCTTGCCATCAATTGCATCAATCCAGTGGGGGAACTGCCACTTTGCCATGAATTCGTCCTGAATGTTGCACCAGTCACGTTCAGTAGTAGGAACCTGAAAATAATATTATCAAATAATGTATATCGTTGTCTTGTTTAACTCTATTAAACATATAAAACTTATAAAGTTTAACATCTTGTCAAGCATGTAAAAGATTGCATCTGACTTGTTTTCATAGAACTAACTCCTGACAACATATTTTTCAGACATAATACTGCAGTGGTTATGCAGAATCTATGCCTGTTCAAAAAACAGACAAGGCTCAACCACACCCCAGGAAGAGGAGGAATCAAGCAACAGGAAGTCCTGAATTAAAAAATCTAATGTACAGGACATTGGAAATGATATCTCAAAAGAAAGCCAAAAGTGACACAATGATTGTGACATTTTGTTTGGTCAGCAGGTTGGGCTCTAGCTTAAAAAAATTGAAAACCTAAGAAAGAGAGAAGAACTGAAACTGAAAATCTATTCACTGATTTTGGAAAATCAGTTCGAAAATGAGGCCTAAATATCAAATGATTTTAAGGGAGGGGGGTGTCAGCAATTTTGTAAATAGAAATATTAAAATGTTATGCTTGAAAAAAATAAGGGAGGTGGGGGTCATTGATTTTGTACATGACATGCAAGGGGATCACTTACTTTGTACATAAATTCCAGGGGGGTGACATTTACATTGTACATACTTCTCCATAAAAATCATCATCACTGCCCCCTCGCCTTAAATATGAACAATCCGTAACATATGTAAAATATAGCTCTCTTTAGCTGAAAATAGATGTTTCCACCTATTTATGTGTTTAAAATACTTCCATCAAATAATAAACATTCATGTATCATGTAATCCTTGTCTGTTTTATGTCTATAAAAAAATTTTACATAGCTGAAACCTATTTTAAACTTTCATTCATCCCTGACAAATTCTGAAGTGTGGTTTTTGCACTGATTTTCAAGAAGATCTGTAATGATATCCGAAACTGTTCAACAAATTTTAAAGTATTTTATTGAAAATTGGTGTTTGTACGTTTTATTGATTTGTGAAGAATGTGGTACCTGCAAGTAGTCTTGTTGAAGTACATCATAGATGGCTTTACAGACACAAGGAACAAAGTTGCAGATGGTATTCCTTGGCACCCCGTACAGGAACTCAAGGGAGCTGTAACTGTCACCTGTGGGTGAAAAAAGTAATATTTCAAAACACCATTCCCAACATTAAACGCTTTCGTTTGCATAAACATTTACATAAATGTTTCAATTTATATCTACATTTGCTAAATTTATATCCCACGTCTTGTACTCATTTGAATAATCCAGAGGTTCACTAATGACACTCATTTTATGATGCTTCGCTCACTCAAGAACATCTACTGATTATCCCCCCTCCTACTTGATGCAGAGTGCTCTTTCCTTAGTTCAAGGTGGTCAACACGCGGATGTAGGAATTGCCGTGTCTTTTGATAATATTTTGTACTGATAACTATTTGAAACCTAACAGAATAGTTTGGATTCTTTGCGAAATGAAACGGCAGTATCTGTGCTTCATTTACACACCACATAACTTACCGTTTGCTCCAACGGGAATACTGTTTCTCATGGGGGTACACTTCTTCTCGCTGAATGGAGAAATTTTCTCCAACAAAACGTCAAAATTTGCCTTGTCCATACGGAGAAATTCTTCAGTGACCTTGGATCTTCCTGTTCAAGCTCTCGAAGAAGCGAATTATACGCTCCAGCCGTGTTCCACCGAAGAATCCAGTTACGGACCCACACCGATTTAGGCTTTATCTTCTTTTTTAGCGACTGGGATATGTAGACCGACATTATCATGGCTAGCGTTTCTTCTTCTCTCGACGAATCCATGTTGCAGAGTCATACGTGAGAATCTCGCGAGATACGAGTTGTATACGACTTAAAAAGTACACAAATGGCAAAGTCGTTACGATCTTTGTTGTTATTACAAGTCGTATGCTACAAGTTGTTACTACAAGTCGCACCGTGAGAACGCACCTTTGATCTTTCACCGAAACATCTTAGAAAGAGGGACAAATCATACTATTGACTGCAACTTCTTTTCTGCAATGGGTGGGATCAGCCTCGTACAGCCTCCTACAGTAAACTACTGCGTTGCATCCCGTTTCTTGGTTTGTAGTTGCTTCACTCACCTAACATCACTGGTGGAAACATTACGTTTATGTTTTCTGACGCTTAAGTTAAAATGTCTCAATTCGACTCACAAGTTTTCAGCGACACGGTAACGTTCGCAATGTTTACATTCCCACAATGCAATCGTGGAATGTCGCTTGACTACTCAGCTTCGTCTGGATGTACTGATCTAAACATACGTTGGTAGTAGAAATGCGACGTTCACATGGTTTACGTTAATCACAGATGTAATTAAAATAATTTAGAGAAGATATTTAATCCGAACGTAAACCGTCATCAAACGGTTTATCGTTTGTTTTTCTGGTAACGTTCGACTTAACGTAGGGGGGGGCAGACACATCAATAGAACAGTTAGCCCTGTGCGAGGATTCTTAATTTAGGTCACCGACACCGTCGTGTGTATTCTGCCTTAAATTAATCGTAATTATCCTTAGAAAGTATTAAATTTGGCATCTTAGAAAAGAAATACAGTTCGCTCTACCACCATCTATAGTGTAATAAAGCACACTTTCGCCATGAACTATTATGACGTTAAAGCACTCGGACGCAAGCGAACTGTATTTCTTAATTAATTGATTGTGTTGGGACTAGTTCGTCCATTAATAAAGTCTGAGTTTAAGGTTTATCTTTCCAACGTGTTGTTTTCGACATATGGATATTTATATACAAGGTCACCGTCACATGCCTCTGGGGTTGTCAACAGAAATACAGTTGTAATAAATGGCCAGTTACAGAAGCTGATCTTCCAGCCTTTGGCGATAAAACATTACTTTCTTTCGTGTCATCGCTGATTTTCAGCTTTCCATTGCTATAGATATCGATCACTAATTTTTCGTCTTGCCTCTAGGCCTGAAGACTTTTTCTCTGAAGATGGTCTTTTCTATTTCAATGATCTGAACACCTAAAGCAGAGGGGCGGGAGTTGTGGGGAAGATGGATACTGTCCTGACGTTCAGACGTAATTATAACGAGAAACGTACATTGTGCAAGTTTAATAAATATGAACTAACATACTAATACGTTGTTTTATACTCAAATTTTAGTTGTGTTCATTGTAATTCCTGCATTCTGATTGGCTGAAATGGTCACGTGTTATTGTATTTATTATGCCAATGAATGTAAAGAAATTAAGCCACGCCCACCAAACAGGACTACTTTCACCTCAACGGATTGTCTGAGAATCTCACCTGCAGTGTCCATTCGTCACCACTCGCCCCTTTCCGTAACCTCCAAGAACATTCGAGACCAGCTTGTGTTATTCCAGGACAGTCCGAATAGCGACTCGTGCCCTTATGAGGATTTTGACACCAGAACTATAGTTTGGCATGAAATGCATGTGGACCCGGTTTTTTGTAAATATCTCTTCATCCAATGACCCAATCGATCTCAAACTGTGCAAGTGGATGTTTTGTCAGACAACCTAATCACATTGTAAATCACCGATTTTATGCATTTGTATTAAAGAATCTGTCTATGTAACTGTCAACAAAATAAACAGCAGAACGCAGAAGGCTTGCAGAGGGAGGGAGCCAATGACCTGTAACAGCGGCAGTGTTGGGTCATAAAGATCAACGTTCGTCAATGTAGGTCAGCCTTGCTGATGACCCTGATGTCAAAAGAATCTAACTTTGGATGCCTACCTTTTTTTACAAGGTTTTGTTTATTGGTTGTTGGTTTATTTTTCACAATTGTTAGCACGATATTCAAAGTTGTACGTTTCATGTAATCCGACACCTTATAAATCGGTTTGCTATGTTTTGCTCTCTTTTTAAAAAAAATTCAACACATTTCTAATTAAACGTTTAGCATCATCTGAATAAGCTTTCATGATGACAGCTAGAAGTAGTCAATGTGAATGATCCAAACGTTCTATCACTGTGCAGTGCACAGGTAACTATCATGAGCTGCACGTGCATTTACCTTTATGACCCAACACTACCGCTGTTACAGGTCATTGGCTCCCTCCCTCTGCAAGCCTTCAATAGTGCACAATAGTGCACATATGTATATTCAGTGTAAATTTACTTTTTAAAATTTCCCTGATATTTAATAATCGGAGATGTAATCATTTTACTTTGAAAAGGGAACTACAATAATATTTTTAGATGTAATATGTCCAAAATACAGGAACACATTTGTCAAAAGAAGATCAAATTTCAGTATTTTTAATTGTTTTTAGATTTACTACTTTTATTTCCATAAAACAATTCTGCCAGCATGTATTGTTTTTGTGGTTTCATAAATAAAGTTACCTTTAACAGTAAAATATTCAGAATTAGAATACCGGGGTGTTGTTTCATGTGCCATTGCGTATATACACTTAAATACAAATGAATCACAATCCCATTATTCCGATATTTCACTTTCGTTTCATTCTCTCATCATTCATAATATTCGCTTATAAGCAGACTATGAACGATTCAATGGCTAAATAATGCAGGTCATGTAAAATAATCAATAACTTGTAATTGTATCCATCCCTGATGAAATCTGAAGCACGTACGGCTTCGCACACATCCTGGGAAAATATGGACGAGCATGTCAAAACACCTCTTACTTGCCCTGTTTCCTTTCGTTTGGGCGACACCATTTCAGGGTGTAGGGGTGGCAGGTCGCCATTATTTTGAGTTGGTATTTCACGGCGCTTCGGCAATGTTAAAGCCATCAGCAGCGAACATTGAATGATTCCTTTAAAGATAAAACAGAAATGAGAACATTTTCCCAATAAACTTTTATTTCACAAACAAGAATGTTATCATAAATACAACATTTCAACACGATTTCAAGATTTGCAGCCACTGTACCTTTTATAATGACATGTTGAATGTTCTACACTCAAAACAAATGTCATTACTATACAGTTGAATTAAACTAGAAATGATGTATTTTTTGTTATAAAAAGTACCAATATCCGAATATACACCCGTCTAGTCTATATCATATAAACTAAGACCCAAATGACGTCTTGCACTTGGACCATTTGACTAATCAATCACCATATTTCTATGTAGCTTGGAGAGGATTTCACCCACGTTTTACAGAATAAAATGAATTACATTTTAACTGCACGAAATTTAATATAATAAATCTAAATTCTCTTAGTTCAAACTACACCAGAAATAGTGACATATTACTAATTCTAACCACACAAATATCTGCATCAAATCCTTCAGTGAAATAGCTTCTACAGGCAAACGATTTTCCCAAAAAGAAAAATGTATAATCTATATTGAAACTAACACCTTACCGAAATCTGTCGGCATTCATCTCAAAACAATGAGAGTACATGACTGGTCATGTATTAAATCACGTCACTGAACTGAAAGTGATATTTTTCATACATTTTATCAAAGCATTATGTATCTGCACATCTGTGTACAAACTTGTCACTCTAGATATAACTATATTACATCCGCCTCAAAAACCATATTTGACAAATGAAATGACCATAAAACAGAAACAGCTGATGATAGTATCCGAATGTAGTCACAATTGCTGACCACTATCCAATGATAACCAAAGGAAAAAGTCACTACTGCTTACATGAGCGTTGGTTGTGTCCAACAAGTTGGCACTTGTCACATTTCTTATCACACCCCCTTCTTTTAGACCTTGTCAGGTATTCAAGTCTGTTTTGTTCAAGCATTATCTGTTTAAAAGCTTCTCTACCCCTGTGTGAGGTAGAACGAAAGTACCACTTGGTAGCATAGTCGTTCAGTTTCTCAAAACCTTGCTGAGAGAAAGTAATAAGATTACCATGGAGTTTGATCATTTCAGGAACATGAAAAGCTAAGATATGCATGTACGGAGTAACATCCTTACTTTGATACACATCCGAAAACGTTCTGAGCCAGTTCCTACATTTGTCACCTAATACTTGATATTCACTTGCCTGAAATGATTCTTTTGAGAGAAGCTGAGATATTTGTGACAACTCGGACCACAAAAAAGTAATATGATATATCTTAGGGTGATCCGGTATGAACTCTGACACCTTAAGACTTTCAGAAATCGTTCTATGCTCCGGTCCAGTAAAGTCCCTGAAAGTAAACCTTCCAGTTTGTTTATCATTCCTGAAACGAAATTCAATCCCTAAAGTTTGTACAAAATTCTCGAGACATTTCCACACTTTGACCTGTCATATTTTCCATTACACCTTTGAATGTTGTCCCTCGTTCTAAGCTCAGTGATGAGGTGTTTCACCAGCTGGTCAGATACTCGAAGATATACATGTAGCAAATCTGGTACTACTTTGGTTAAGGCAATAAAACTGAATAGAGGTGGATGAAGACAGTTGAAATTCTTATTTTTTTTGTTAGACATTGTCGAAATTTCCTCTACTGTCCTGGCGCCTTTCTGAACATCAACAAGTGACCACTCTCTACTCATATCATGTCTGTCAAACATTTGCACCAAACACAGCTGTAAGTGCAGGAACATGACGCAAGACCACACATCATGTTTAGAAACTTTAAGTCTCCACCTAGGAAATATGTAACATGAACCAGGGTACCTCCAATGTTCAAAGTGTTTAATGCCTTTGCTTCTGTGACTATATCTTCTAGAGCTTTTCTGATATTATCATAAGTTTCATTACCTGTAAACATGGCTAACAAATAGTTTCCTGTGACTGAAGTACATAGGTCTTCACCCAATATAGTAAAACCAAAATTTATTACTTTTTTCTCCTGCCTAGTTCAGTGCCATCACCCGTGCGTTTAACATTGACAGATTGCTTCGAAAGTATAGCCTGACCCTTCCCTGATGCAACAATGTTAGATACACAGTTAGTAAGTCGATCTCGCAGAGACTTCTGAACACCAACAGTATCATTTGGTGTGTCCCTGATCTTTACATCAACATTGATTTCCTTAGCTCTTTTGACAACTGAATGTAACCGTGGCATGTCTGGTACAACCATTGATAATTCATGATAAGCTTTGTTCGATATGTTTTCAGAATCCTTAACATACAATAGTGCATCTAAATCAGTGACAGAGCCATTCTCTTCTTTAACGTCTGAAGCTGAATTCTTATCCAGAGATAAACGTAACTGTTTGCCATCTTCCTGTCTACCCTCTACAGAGACTGCTTCCATGTTGTACCTCCCGACAAATGCCAAAGACTTCCTACAGTCACCCAATAACATCTTTTTTCTTTTATGTATCTGAGATCTAGACAAACATGTATTAGATTCTAAAACTCTCAAAGGTCTGACTGATTTACTGTTTTGTTTTGCAATAACATGCAATATAATTTTTGAATCTTTTACGCAACACATTTTTTGAGTCTGGAGTTTCTTTGCCTGGTGAACAACTGAACGGTATCTTTTGAACATAATCTTCTTCAATTTTCTTTCCTGTAACAAACGCTTCTGCACAGCCGGAAGATATGCCTCAGAGACATCAACTGTCAAAATATACTTTTCATCTTTCCAGTCTTCAAATAATTGCCTATACTTTGAGCTAAAGGTTAAACAATATCATCATAATTGAAACAAAAGCAAAAGCTGAAAGTCAGCTGTCAGAACAGAGGACATCACATCTTAGTGCCTTAGGGTAACCCTGAGAAGGTTGAGATCGAACCTGTTTCCCTTTTCTCGAACAAATTTGATTTTGAACATGAAACCTCTATGACTAAGTCTCTTTCTCAGGTCTAGAGTATATTCCTCTCGTGGCTTTCTTTCCTAGTACCTGAAAATGATGGTCTCGCGGTTTTTGTATACAAAGTCACCAGTCTGGTTTATTATCCTGACCCACCATTCATCACCGAACAAAATATCCGGACTGTGTACATCAAGGAACTTAAAACTCTGCTCCTGGGGTGGACCCATTCCATGACCTAACCTCTCTTGACAGATCTAGAATGTCCCTAGCTATCTCAGGCGAAGATATTGGGATCTTTATAGTAACCAGAGAGTCTACCCCTCTCCAACAATGCAGCTGATCTCTTAAAGATGATAACAGCTGAAATTTGAAGATGTCATTTTGACAAGAACTAGACAGACATGACCTTGTAACGATATTACTATCACTGACCCATTGGTCATATTCCTTGGTCCACCCCACATAATGTACCAAGCTTTGCTGTACCCCATCTACCACACTAGTTTCCAACACTTCCACGTCAAACAACAGCTGGTCATTCCAACCTGGCGATCTAGTCCGCAGCTGTGCGCTGAAAGTTTGTCGAGGAGGTCTGTAATCTGGCCTATGTCCACTGTCCACTGCTACTGCATTAAAACCCCTATATATGGCCATGTTGTAAAATCTTGCAGAAATATTGCAATTTATTAAAGCTGAAGACAGTTGGATCATAATAAACAATCCTATAATAAGAAGGTAATCAACATATAATTTATTGAGTGCTTTTATACACCGTACACCTTTGACTGAGCTTCCTCTCGGTGTTCTAACTTATCCAATCCAAAGGTAATTTTCAATTCTAGCATTAAAGTGTTCAAGCTCTCGAGTGAAAACTGTACATATATTTGAAAGAATTTTATCAAATTAATATAAACCCACCAATATGAAAAGCCTCAGTTCAGCTATCAAGGGTAGTGCTACTGAAACGATGAACAAAATATGATTATTGCATTATTACAAGAATAAATAATAACAAGTTGACATTATAATCAAATAGAACTGACCATCTTTAGATCACAGTGGAAAACCCTGTCATGAAAGATATGTAAATTATATCTTAAATTATAGATAGACTGATTTAATTCAAAACTATCAAAATCAGAGATTAATTAAACATGAATAAAAAACACATAGCAATCTGTAGTGCGGAAAAGGTTTAATTTTCATGAGCCCAGAAGCAAAACACTAGCCCGAGTTTAAACTAAACTTTAGACTACAATGTACAAGCAAGTTGAAAGTCTGTTAAAAGACAGGTTATCCTAATAATTATTCAGAATTCCACATTGCTGTTGGTCAAAAATAGAAAACTCTACTAATGTTTGGTTACAGTCAGGAATTCTTTACAAGCCCCCAGGGCTAGCATTCTCCGAATTTCATTAGCCCTAGACAATTTTGACTACCCTCGGGGCTACGGTCTAGCATATTAATTTCTACCCCTGAAACTATACAATGAACACACATTTATTAATTCTATTCAAACTTTCAAAGGGATAATTACGTATATTTCAAGTAAATATATTCAATAAGAATATACCAATTTGAAAAGTCGTTTTTTCAATACAATAAAGTACAAAAGTATTTTGATACTATTTATTATTATGATAATAGAATCTTCTGAAAACAAAAATAAAATATAAGATCATGAATGTATCTTGATGGAAATTATTATGTTTTGATTACTTTAGTAAATTTGCTATTGATGAAAACATACCACTTGTAGCAAAAACTGTACAGTACGACGCTGCACTAGTCAGACTTCAACAAGACAGCAAGCTGAAACAAACAATATAACTCAATCTGTCTTCTGCAGAGTATACAAGCCTAGCAGTTTATAAATCATAATTTGGAAGGGCCCATTCAAGAATGTCATTTGAATATCGAAAATAATATTTTAGGTATATTGTTGAGCTTTTTGAAAAGTGTAGGAAATGATGTCTGAAACCTGAACCAAGTATAACCAGACAACCACGACATATTGTGGTATTTTAAGAGCGCTTCGAAGAGAGCAGTCGAGGCGTCGTAGCCTATCACACATTACAATTGCACCAAAGCTATTTACGACACTGATATTAGTTTGTTTTATCTAGTGTAAATAAAACACACACCAAGTTTTAAGTTAGTTTTCAGTGTAACCAGTAACCAAATATATTTTGCAAGTTTTAAATGGAGAGGATAATATGAGATTCGTGAAAGTAGGTCACGCTCACAATATGGCCAATGAAAATGTGATTTGGTTTGTCGTAACTACCAGCGATAAACTTCCAGAATAGATTCGAATTCCCGAGCACTGCAAAATTAATTACGTTAGTTTAATCACTTTTCCAAGTTAATGCTAATTGACCTTGGTATCGGCTGCAGTTGCCTTTCATCCTTTGTTAAAAAAATTCTTTGCAATATTGTCGCCGGCTTCCGCGGTCGATGAAATTCAAATAACTTTTTGTACATATATATATATATACTCTATATCAAATATATATTATATGTTCGTTTGTTGAAATTAAACATCGATTACAAAGCATTAACTTGACAATCCTTAGCATATATTCCATGCAGTTATCTTTATATATACATGTTGAATTTTGTCAAATCTTTTGTCAGAAACTGGCCAGTGTGGAGACGGGTGGTAGGTTGGGAGCCAATTATGCTTTCATTAGGTCCTGATAGGCAAGCCTAATAACTGCATTATCCTTGATCTCTGGTGATACTTAATACTATCTTGGAAGGATATTTTCTATTTACAGAAAGTATCTGAGCCCCACGGAATTAATACCAAGCGGATTTTAAGAAACGCAAACAACTAAGGGTTTGCTTAAATGTTTGCAATATTAGAAACGGATTACATTTCTGTCAAAATAATTTGAACTTTCATCGTTGTACACCTATGTCCCACACGACAAAGGGTTGTGCGGTAGCCCAGAGGTTAATGCGTTCGCTCGTCACGACGATGACCTGGTTCCATTCCCGACAAGGTTACAACGTGTGAAGCCCATTTCTGGTGTCCCTCCACCTTGATATTGCTGGAATATTGCTGAAAGCAGCGTAACATTAAA